CTTTATCTGTTTATCACATCTACTCGTCAGGTGTTCGACCATTGAATAGCTTAAACAATTCGGTCCTTTTAACCGGAGGCTCCTTGGTACATATTCGCAGAATCTGACGTAGGCCCTCCATTCTGTTCTTCCAATGTAACTGCTCCCGCAGATACATGTGAATTGCTATACACAGTTGGACGTAACATGTGAGGGGTACTTGTCAATCTTTGACTGCACCATTGAGGAGGTTGTTCGGGGTAGAGACTGAAAACGATGCAGGATACGTCTTAGACAGGGCTGCACTTAGACTTTTATTTAACATCCTCATAAAATCATCGCCCTTGTGGTCGAGTTTTCTGAAAATAGCCTTCTTACTGACTGTAGCTATATCAAGCTTCTTGGGTTCATTCTTCCCATACCTGTTAATGAAACTTTGTGGGTAACCATTTTCTTCCAAGCAGTTCTAAAGAAGCATTAGCTCACTGTCTAGTTTGTTTGGTGAACATATTCTCTTCACTCTAGATAATTCGTTCTCGGCAGCGTTCGTTTGTATCTCACTGGGCAGAAGCTGTTGAAATTCAAGTAAAGAACACTCCATGTGTCTTTATGATATACAGATCTTACGAATGTCCCGTCGTATTTTCTCTCCAACTTTACGTCCAAAAATAGAATTTTCCATCATCTTCATGCTCCATCGTGAAAGCGATGCTTTTGTGTACGTTGTTGAAGGAGTCTAATAGAGACGAAGCGTGACTCAAATCATTGCATACAGTGATTTTGTCATCAGTGTATCTATATTAGGCTGTTGTTTCGTAAATTGCACACTTTAGATTTGTCTATTATAGACTGGTCATTAAAATATCAGCTTACTTTATTATTTCATTTGAAAATCCTGGATGGAGAGTGAATGTTATGCAATACATAACGGTGAGCACTTCTCGTATTTTTTTATCTGAAATATACCTATCGTTATTATTATTAGTAATATAAGTTAATGCCATTGAATTTTGAAATGTATGTCTAGTAAAACTTACTTCAATATTCTGTATTACCCGCTGTTGTCAAAGAAAACAGGAATTCGCAGGTGGTTTTGTTCTCTGAGCTGGATTGTTTATTTCTGAAGCTTTCATCGCTCTACTAGGCAACATCTTCAGCGCATACTTCAATCTGAAATGAGCTTTTAGATTTCTCCACGAGTTTATTAATCATCTCCCCTGGTGACTTTGGACGTGATTGGTTGTTTTTGTGTGTTTTCACACCTTCTAGGCTACTTGTATTGGAACTGATTATTTCTTTGACTTGAACTTTGACCCTTTGTGTGTGAGGTTTCTTTCTTATCGGTTGATAAATTTTGTCTATCTCGATGTGTCTGTTGATTGATGATTCACTGGAATGCCAAGCTTCTGAAAATTCTCTAGCATTCTTGTTGTTTCCTCTGTCTAATATTTGAACGTTGTCCCAGTCGAATTGATGCCCGTGGTTTTCTGTATGTAGTGATGTGAGGGAGTGAATATCATCTCTTTTGACTGCTAGATTATATTCGTGAATACGAAGATGAAGGGGACGTCCACTTTGGCCAATGTAGTGTTTTTCGCAGTTGTTACAATTTATTTTGTAGATGATGTTGGTTTCATCTTCTTTCGCTGTTGAGTCTTTTGGTTGACATAGAAGTGAGCTACAAATCTTCTCTATCATATCTAAAAACCGGTATTCACTGAAAAGATTGTTAACTTTTTAGCTGCGGAGGAGTAGCCGAACACACTAACCGCTACATTACCTCAAATAAGGAAAGCTGAATTGTCATAAGAGAAAAATGTTACAGTTATTCTAATCATTCTAAAGAGTTGCGTATGCGTGAAAGTAGAACAATTCCGTTTTCTTAAAACATTAGCAAGAAATATTTATCAAGGAAAGAATTCGGATACGTTTCGAAATGATATCAGAGGAATATTTGAAAATATTTACATAAACGAAAGAGAGTGAAATGTAATTACCACAGAGAAAGTCAAGAATAAAAACATGCCATGCTCATTAAAGTTATTTCTCACAAGCTTCTTCACTACATGCTTTGATACATCAAGATTTATTCTGTGAAAACGAAGCTAAACAGCTTGTTGTGATTGTAACCTTTTCGTTAGTCCTATTTCAAATAATCTGTTCACTTGTAACATTTTTTAATGATTTACCTAAATAGTATCATTATACACTTGAAAACAAAGTGATGAGATTTGATAATTTGAGTAGGTGTATGGAGTGTGATGTCTCTTCTACAACATGTGGATGACGCTTTCACAGTGTTAAAACAGAACGTATCTCTAGCTTCTTCACCCATGTAAAGTCACGAGCAGTAGCACTAGATAGTACAAAATAAGACCTTAATCATGAAATAAAACAGATAGAAGAAGCGTTGCTATTATGCACAATCCTACAAAATTCATTAGGAATATCAAAAATGGTAAAAAGCACAGTAAAAAATTATTGCTAAAACTAATAAGTACAACATGATTAAGAAAGAATATAAGTCATCTACAGTAGTGTATCCAAATAAGGAGGGAACATCTGAAACCCTACGTAGGATTCTTAATAATGCAGGGATTAGGATCTAAGCCTACAAACGCACTTAAGGACAAGCTCTGTTGTCTAAAAGCACCCAGTAGAGCCAACTAGACAAAATAATACTATTTAAAAAATACCTTGCAATCACTGTGAGTTAAGTCAAATACATAGGTCAAACAAGTAGGTCCGGTGGGGGTAGTCAGATAGTTAGAACATAAGAATTTAGCTAAGGCTAGAATGACTGACCTCATGAAGATAAGTAATTTGTAAAAAAGCTGATTAATTGTGCGGCATGCGTCAACACACAAACACACAATAGAATGGGTGGGTCAGAGTTAAAATTCTTAACAGTCATCTAGGTAGGTGGAGTGGCAGACGGATTAATTAACCTATGTTCATAGAATCTACACCCAGCAAGTGTAATAGGAATTACTCATCACTCATACCAGAAATATGGAGAAGATTAGTACTAATCAAATCAAGAGGTAGGGAATAGTGGAAGCGTATAAACGACTTTAGAAATTTGTGTGAGTACTTTGATATGCCATATGAGCAGTAATACATTGTGCTCGAAACGCTATTAATAAATATGATTGTATAACACCGTGGGGATTTTCAACTCCAATGTGAAGTCAGTGCTACTATATGGATCATAGACTTGGCGCGTCATAAAGAGCATCTCAAACAAACTACAGACCTTCATTAACAGCTGTCTTCGCTAAATACTCAAGATCAGATGGCCAGAAAAGATCAGTAACAGAGATCTCTGGGAGCGAACCAACCCAGCAGGAACCTATTGTGCAACAAATAAGCAGGAAGAAATGGAGATGGATTGGCCATACTCTGAGGAAACCATCAAGTGACATCACTAGACAAGCCTTTGAGTGGAACCCGAAAGGGAAGCGGCGAGTTGGTCGTCAGTGCAAGAGTGACTTGTAGGAGGTCATGTGAAGAGGAGATGAAAAGGTGTGGGCAGACATGGAGCCAGGTGAAGACTCTAGCAGAGAACCGAATGCAATGGAGACGCACGGCTGAAGCCCTATGTTCCTCTAGGAATTAAGGGAAACAATAATAATTAATAATAATAACACCGCGAGATTATATCAAATTGTAGTTTCTTCATAACATGTTTGAAATTTCATATTCAGTAATTTTAGTTCGCATTTTTCCCATAAGTTAGCCAAATTATTCACCTTTCACTTTTCCTCTTCTTTTTAGATGCATTTTATTTCGAAATTTGTATAAAATTCCTTGTGAGATTCAATTAGGAACAGATATGTTCTCGAAGAGATCATTTTTTTTAAACTTCATTTCAAATGTGTACAGTTATGCAAGAGGTTTGTATTCACAATGCTAATTAATTACAGAGTTCAGCTTAACTATTACTAGATGATAAAATAAAATAACTTGTATGCTTACAAACGATATTTGAACGTAGTGGGTAATCTTACGTAACCTGGAGAATGGTTAACAAATTACTTGGCATGATGGCTGGCAGAAACCTGTAACTTGTGAGAAACTTAATAGTGAAGCGCTGCTTGAAAGATATGTTTAAATTCCTGGATTCGGTACGACAAGTGAATGCACCTGGAACAACTTTAACTTCGATAGTCGTAGTTTGCTTATTCATCAAAGCGCTTTCAAAAGAAACTTTATGATACCCAAGATGCTATGCATATGAAAAGCTCTACAGAAAACGATTTCATCTAACAGAATCCAGTGTATAATCCGTCACCCACACTTCCAGCAGAAAAGAAATGAAGTTTTAAAACACAGTCAGTATCTTTCAATATCACGGCACTACACATTTTCGAGGGAATGAAAAACAGGCAAAGAAACCATGCAGTAATTGTTCAGGAATGCTGAATACATCTCCCAGAACTCGAAAATAAAATGATATTCACTGCCATATTTTCAGTCTACTGGTCAAATATTTGAATGGATAAAAAGGATGCCTATGAGATCGCCTATATCAGAACTGATTGTTGACCATTTCATCGCATATCCTTTCGTCAAAAGTCAAACCCAAAATTTGGATATGTCATACGGATGATAAAATCATGATAATTACCTAATCGACAACATCTTCGACGATAGCAAATCTTCAATAGAAGAGGAATTCAAGAGTGACATTATTATTTAATCGAGAAAGTTTTATGTATATACACGAACGTTAATTTTTATGTACATTTTTTTTACACAAACATATATACACCGATCAAACTTCAAAGAACATCTTTAACTCTTAGATGAATGAGAGTTTAGCATCTGAACATCAGAATATGGAGCACAAAATAATGTTAGAAAATAAATGATAATAGAAAAGAAAAAGGAAAGATTTCGTTCCTCTTTAATACAAAATAATGACAAAAGTAGTACTTTGATTTTTGTAAAAAGTGTTTTCAATTTCCCCATTATTATTATTATTTTTATCATACAATCTAATGTTAGTTGGATGAAAGTTTTATTCAGATTTCTATTGTTTCCTATACAACTAACAAGTGAATAATAATAATAACGGGCTTTTTCTGAAAAATTGAATTTGTTGACCATTTTCGTTTTGAAAAAAGAGCGGGAATTATGAAATGCCTAAACAAATCAAACAAAATCATCATCATGTTGAACATTGAAATGTAACTGAAGGAAATGTGTTCGCTGGAATAATTAAAATTGACGATGAATTTACAACACAATCAGCTGGAATGGTTGAAAGATTTTCATTTGTGCATAATCTATCCTGTGAACTAATTGGTATAAAAGAACAATTTGAGGGTAAGGTGTAACTATTTGTGGAATGTGGACACATATCAATCGGTTGTGGTCTATATTCAATAATTGCAGGAGATATTTCAATATTGGAGGCTTTCAATAGTGAATTTGGCATTTCTGAAGTGAATGTCACCAAGGGTATTTGAGTATTTGCAGTATCACAGTTGAAGGTAATGACTTTTGTTGGAGTTGAAAAAGTGGATTGTGAAATTGCTAAACTAGACGTGGAAACTTTAAAGTTGGTTGGTGTTCCCGTCATTTGTCTCGAACTAAGGAAAGATTAGAAAAAAAATACACAGTACGTGAATTTCAACAAAACAACATGAAGACATAATATATCGGAACTCGGTACTGAGCAACACATTTAGAACATTTTGATGACGCATGTAATCCAATGTGTATGTATCGAAGGCAACAAAGCGTAAAGGATAACAATATTTTTATGAATATAGGACAAATTGTTCACAGTTCAAGGTCACAGATAAGATGTAGGAAAATGACGTGAGAAAGGAATGAAAATTTCAAGCCAACTGAACCTTGCTGTTAAAATGCGAGTATCAAGGCAGGCTGGGAGAGATGATAACCAATCAAATCCCTACCGACCAATACATGAATATTTGTCTGATGGTCAGTAGAGACTGGCCTTATTCAGGTAGGTAGTTACTTGGTTCCGTTGGGACATCATTACCTATGGGGTAGAGCAGGTCGGGTGGTAGTTCAAATACTCACCGATGACATTTTCTAGTCGTCGCGCCATACCATGAAGTGGCAGAATCTGGAATTTATGGACCATTGGATGGTATCCCCGTGGCTCAATGGTCTACTAGAAGTTCCTGGGTTCGAACCCTAATTGGTGCATATTGTTAAAGAGCCCCAAACTAGGACGAAACAACTGTCCAGTACCCCCAGTCCAGTATTCCTAGGTATTACAATATTTCTCCAACTGATGTCAGTTCATGATGAAATACTGAAACCAATCAAACCCCTACAAACTAACACTTGGAGAAACTGAAAAAGCTTGCAACACATATATCAGCCTTAGGCCATAATGGGACTAAGGCTTCAGCGAATTTGATCATGTGAACTAGTCTTATTTGCCCGAAGTGTGTTGTACACATTCATTACACATTTCAGATAAATGAGATCTTCCCTAATGTTTCGTCAAGATTACGGAAGGATTTCTCAGAATCAGACAGAAGATTTGGGGGATTGGTACATTGTTTTGAACTTGAAACTCCAAGCAAAGGTTTCTAGAGGTTTCCGAAGCATATCTCATCTCGAGAGTGCTTGTTGAATGGATAACGTGGTGAAGTGATTTACAGCCTACTAGAGATCGTCCAGAATGCGTAATTGAGTGGTTGTCTGGCAAATCCTTTGGGTATTTTAAGTAACTATGCAATTCTGATCCTCTTTTTTTTATGCTGTAAATCATTCTTCTGACTTTTTCACATCGTCTGTTCACTTAATCCTTACAGTTTATTCCTGTTTAATTTCTAATTTTAATTCTTCTTTCTGCCTGTGGATGTCATGATATTCATAATGTATTGTTTTGTTTCAATGGGTTCAAATCATTCTGACCTTGAGCTGTCTGCGTAAATTGTCTGCCGCGATATTCTTGCTGACAGAGTTTTGACTCCACTTTGATGGGAATATTCCAGTGGATTCCAAGTTACTACTACGGTTTAAGTTTAGTTAGGCAATCACGTTGTGTCCTACATGTGTGGTACTCGAGAAAAAATCGGATCTGTATAGCCGCTTAACGGAATAGTTCAGGTGATTTTCACTGTTAGAGTCAGGTTGGAAAGTGGAAAAAATCGAGAAGTAAATATGTACCACAAATATTTCACTTGATTTTATGCAAATGATGGATAATTCCGTCAGTGTTATTTGCATATCAAAGTCTACGAAGAGAGAAACCTTCTCCTCCCCCCCATATAAAATATGCGAATGAAATGAAGGAATTAGTCTGCTTTTTTGATAAAATGTTTCAGACGATTGCATGACCTGGAGATTAACAGTGATGTAGGTTTGGGGGGAGTAGACATAACTTCACTTTTGTCTACCTTGCTAATCTACCGAGTTTCTTTTTTTTGCTGAAGAGTAATGGGAGATGTTGTCAAAATTGACATTTGTAAATTTCTCATATATGAGTAAATCTAAAGTCAAGTGGTTTTATATCATAAATTTATTAATTGATTGAAATAGAATAAGTTGAGTTGGAAGACTAAATATTTAACTGAGTACATAACAAATGTTACCATCTTTCAGGGATATAAAAAAACTTGAATATGTCTAGTGATCCAATTTTTTTAAACCCTACCTAACTTGTTTCACATTCGTTTCAAAAATACTTTCAAAGGGGAACTGTCTTATTCTCTGGGGAGCAATAAGGAGGTCAGTTTTCTAAAATTCAGGTTGCTTGTACAGCTTTTAGTTCAGCTACTATCAGCCATTCCTCATGAAGTTATTACTCATGTTGGAGTCACGTTTCTTTTTGACAATTCAATAAAACTAGAATCAGTTCATCAGCTGAAATATTTTGATATTATACTCCGTTGAGTAGGTCCACTGCGTGAACTTATCGAAGAAACTGGAGTATTTTTCCTAGTTTACAGAACTGTGAGATGGATGAATATATGGTTGCATCGCAATGCACTTGAGACTGATAAGTTCATGGAGTGTCTAACAGTAACAGAGTACATTCGCTGCTCACCTTCTTACACACCAATATCGCCCAGAGTGGTTCCTTGGAAACTTCATTTGTCGATGCTCAGGACAACAAAAGTTGCAGTCTCCATGGAAACTGCGATACAAGTTAGTGGGCACTCAGGCCATGACAGCTTACCGTTCAATGGACAAGTAAATCGAATGGAGCATACGACTCCAGAAGTAGATCGATGTTGTGCTGTTACCTGTGCTCTCTTTCCAAAAATCTCTGGCTCTACTTCATATCATTCTTGGAGGCTCAATACGTGGCCTCCAACAATGCAACAAACTAAATGAAATCATCACTATAAATGACTGCAATTTACTGGAGATCATTCGATGTCAGAATATATTCTCCGACTGATTGATAGAAGACAATACAAGCGTTATTCAATGATTACTGTGATTCCTTTTACGAAGCTACAGAATGCCTGAGGACAATTTCGCTATGCATCAAAACAGTCAAACAATATTTTAGGTTTCACAACCGCTTTGACGAAAAGTGATGGCATAAATACGGGAATTTGGTGCTTACAAATATATTTTGAATGTGTTAAATGTTACAAAAATGAAAACAAAAAAATCGACTTACAAACTGGAATTTAGGGGCAACATATGTCCATTTTCTGCTGCCTTTTCAGGCGATGTAGTACACTTCCTTATTGAAGATTTATCTTTATCATGAAGTGTTGGCACAATTACTCTGTTGGCTGATCGGCGACGGTAGACATGAATGAGTGTCAAGATTCCACAGCATAGAAATAACACAATGAGTATTGCGACAACAATCCAACCTAATTTACTTCTAAATTTGTTGTTAATGGGATTTATCTCTGAAACTAGAAAAGAGGATAATGAAGAATCGTAATACTATTAGGTTCAGAAAAGTCAAAATAGAGCAAGTACTGATTACCGTTCAAGTTTAACGGTTAAATGACCTATCAGACAAACCAGTTACATGTAGGAATAAGGTTTTGATAACTATATCATATGAAAAAGTACCAGTTCAATGCAGTATCAGTTTTTTTCAGATGCCAGACGATTATCTGAGTAACAGATATACAGTTTGTGCCGAAGTCTAATCATAACTTATCGCAATGTTGAAAAGTTGAAGAGAATGTGAAGCAGACAGTCATTGGAAAACCGGAAAGTACTTGTCTGGAATGCCGCGTCCTAAGTTAGAACTCTTCTACAGTACATACTGACGAAGACTGGTACTCAGGACCTTCTGGTTACAAGGCGAGCACGTAAACAATTTAGCTACAGAGACACGATCTCACGGCCGATGAATTTCATCTTCTGCGAAATATAGGCCTGAATGATCTACGAGTTCGCCTTGTAACTGGAAGGTCCTGTGCTCCAATCCCGGTGGGTGTGTACTGATACATAGTCCTAATCTAAGGCTCAATATTAGTGTGAGTCACGTCTTTGTAAATCAATTCTTGAAGAGAATTTCGTTTTCTAAAATGATCTCCCTATTTAATGCATCTAAAATATTTGTACATCATTCGGTCCACAGTTTACATTTTGTTGTGTCAAGCGGCCATATTTGTCCATTACAAGTTGTCCAGTAGGTTGAAAAGTGAACTTATATGGATCGCATATAATAAATTCACAAAAATTATGAATTTATAACATTAAAAATACAGAGAATAACTAGAGGAATTAAACAGTGCTGATATTATGGCTTTAGGACCTAGTTCCATTATGGGTAAATTCTTTTATTTTGATAGAGTCTCACAGTGTTATACAGTAATATTTACTGATGACGTTTCGAGCACAATTTATTGCTCATATATATCAAGGTAATCACATTGTGCTCGAAACGTCATCAGTAAATATTACTGTATAACACTGTGAAACTATCAAAATAAAAAAAAAATCTACCCATAATGGAATTACACTCTACCACAGTGCCCAAGTTTTATTCTTATTTCAATGATACTTTAGGACCTAGGCTGGAAAAGAATCAGGTGAGTGTCAGTATTACAAGTTAAAATGCATTTAAAATTATTTATCGCATTCCGACTAATCTTAACTTTGCTCTACGAGTTCGTCTTCTACAGACAGCTGAAGCAATCGGAATCCACCAGAAGAAACCAAGCCTATGTGTACAGAAGAAATTTGTACAGCCACTTTGCTTACCGTGGCCATCGTTACAAGACAGGACTACGTCGCCCCCCTCCCCCTATTAAATTATAATTGTCCAAATTATTTTTATTTTTATTTTGATCACTTCATCTTTAATTACGTGTTATTCTTGTAAAATTAATTTATTCTATCCATTTCTACTTTTTAAATGTGTATAGATTTTCTGCGTTAATTATCCACCCATTGACATTTGACACTAATTATTGTTAACAAACATATCGCCACGTGTTTGGTAAATTGTTATGTGTTGTAAAAAATGCTATATATATTAGAGTAGAGCCAGAGATGAGGATGTAATTGAAAAGTAAATATTTCTTCGCTCAATCTTTCTGTTTTCCAAAATGGGATTCGACGACCATCATTTCAAAGACAGTGTTGTAGATAATCAACCATCGGTCTAGGGTTTAAAACAGGTAACAATGGAAGACTAGAAAAGAATATACCACAAAATAATCGAAATAATACCTTCTGGAAATGATTTCGCTTGATAACAAATAAAAGTTTGATTTTTCAAACATGTCCAAACACGATAAGCAAAGTTTTGATCCATTTGTAATGCCACACTCTGATGTGAGTTATCCATACTACCAAGAATTGTCTTATTCAGGCTATTTTCATCTAGAATTGAAGAAAAAGCAGTAATAATTAAAGCGGTTTCTGTAACAGATTTAGAATATTCCCTAAAAATGTAAATCATAGGGCGTTATTGGAGACGAAAAGGATGAGGAATTTACGATCAGCAGTACTACGGAGTAAAGTTTTAATAGTCATACTGTAGGACGGAATTTTATGCCACAAAGTCACTTTATATAGAATAAATTAGACAATGAAAATGATAAGACTACAAGCTGAGAATATTGTTTGATTGTTGAGTAATATATTTCAAATTTATTAAACAAATCCTTTTGAGAAGTATACTGATGTGTCAAGCTCTTGAATTTTCATTGGTGATATCTTTTAACTTCAGTTAGGAAAAGTGGAATAAGTACATAGTGTGGTAGAACATCTTTTCAGTGCTCTTAGGCACTCAGTAACAAGTGCTACATCAAGAATAAATCTAATTTGAAGTCATCCACGTTACTACAACTCTGTTATTCAATTACTCGGTCGGTTAGTTATAAGCTACAAGCTTACGGATGGATTTCCGGAAGCTTTAAACGGAAGTCACCTACATCAACGTATACCATACGTTTGACGAGATGACAAATTAATGCGTACCTGTCAACACAGAACAACTCTAGTTTTGAGTAAATCATCTTTGTTCTCTATAAAGCCTTTCGAAGAGTATTTAGAGACGATTGTCAACATCGAGACGAGGGGTAAAAGGCAGAAAGAATGACCGTCACAGTTTAGATTTTCTAATATGAATTATCCTATTTGCGTTGCCTGACTTTGTATTCCTGTTGATCAACTTAACTGGACCGGAATTGTTTGGTCCCCATTGAAATGTTGGCCCCCAATACGTATACGTCAACGGGATCAACATCACTCACAGGGGATTGCACATCACACTGGATGATGAGTATTGAATACGACGAAATGTGCACCCTGGGTGTCACTCCTAATTGATATCCACTAAATAAATTGCCCTACTCCATGTCAGTGGAGCTAACGATGGTGAAACCCAAAGATAATGAGCAAATGATGGTGATTTCTAAAGTATCTTCAAGAGCTTGACAGTGACTAAAGAAGACAACGACTTTTTCAACAGCTAAGTCTGTTATCTCAGCAGGTTTAGCGTCAACTGAATGATTTGGAGGCCAATAAACTAAATGCAGTTAAGTAGCCATACCTCAGTTTGATTTATCGAAAAGTGCTAAACTTTACAAAGTAGAGTGAAGGAAGGCATAATTGCCAAACTATTATATTATTTTACTAGTATGAGAATTGGTAAAAAGCATACGTTTGCTTGTAATGTGAGGGTATTTAGACGTTTGGATTCATCGCATGAGATACAATTTGGGAATTGGGAATTACCCTGAAAATGATACTATAATTATGCTATCTGACTGAGCACTATTTAATAGCTGTAACGACAGAAGACAAGGACCAGACAACAGATCGTTTATTGAGAAAATCAAGGAATATTTATAGATTTTTATGTACATTATTGTCAGCGGAGAAGCAACGTCTTCTGATTGGTTGTTTTCTTGCCATTTCTCAGAAAGTTAAGCCATATATCTGCGAATCCTATTTGCACATATTACGTCTTCTGTGATTGGTTGTTGAGTTCTTCATGGTTAAGCTTTGTTACTGTTTTTCTCATGACCCCGATTCGGGAAGTACCAATGACGTAAATTGCTGTCTACAATTTTTTCCTGCAGCCAGCTCTCGTAACATAGCGATTAACCAGCGCCAACCGAAATTTCAGACTGTTTCGAATAAATAATCGTATATATCACTGAGAAAAACTTAAATCATCCACAAAATTCTTTTGGAATAACAACTCAGGTGTAAAGTATTTCTGATGAATTCTCTTCTATCGAAGTAGGGACTATTTATTGCAATAAGGACCAATCAAATTAGGAAAATTAAATTTCACTCTGAAAATGTACCCTACATTTATTTAACTGATGCACATAATTATATCGGGTTTATTCGAATGTCTACCAAACTTAATAAAATTCATAAGAGAGTAAACTTACAGTTTGTAAAGTTATGCAAAATCAGTGCTTCTCTACGAGGAGACTTGAATTTCTTTGAGATATCCGAGGAGTTTGGATCGTCTGAATTCGCCTGTGAATTTTCATGCTTTAAAACATTTTCATGCTTGTTGTTGTTGCTTTTGTAAGTAGATAAGGACTTTTGTGTTCGATAAATACTGTGTGTTTGTAGCTCTCTTACAAGACGTCCTTTACCACCGGACAACGGAATATTTTCTACAGACACCCTGAGATCACTTAGGATATTTCTATTGATTTTCAATGGCAGTACAGTTCTGTCGTTCACCTGACAAGTATCTATTAAGGTGGACCAGTTGATTCGGTTGAGTAGTGAATATTCTGTTTTCATACAAAATGACTGTGAATCATTTGGACTAGAAAATTGTAAATTGATTAGATTGGTTTCATGATTGCTTGTTATCAGTTTTGGAAAGTTTATAGCTGAAAAATGGAAAATAAGGACCATGAAGGACTCCAGAAATTCTCTGTAGATATTCAAAAGGTGAGGAATTTGAGTGCATAGTTATTTTGAATATTTCCTTCTTCGGTCCCTATGTTTCTATTAGCCTAGCTCAAAGGAATGTATCCTTGTAAACATGAACTAGGTTGGTTTCGAGCAGGAGTAAGCAGGTATACAAACAATGTAATTTTAGCTAAGTTGTTAGACAGTGAGCGTCACACCAGAAAATAGGCAAACAAATCCCCTGATGGTATCTTGGCTATGGCTGAAGCCACAGGGATGAATAGTGCTAAACTTTGTTTCTAACCTAGCCAAACTTATATCAATAATTGATGTAATTACCTCAGATGTTTGTCTCACTATGCTTTCCATCGCTTTTACAGACTCCTCTCTGCTCTTCTTACTTCTTTCCACAAATGTAGCCGCCTGAATTATGCACCTGTCCTTTGTCATCCTATAAATTTACACCTAGTTGGTTCCTTTTGTTTACTGTACTCGAATTATCTATAATTTCACACCTTGAAGCAGTATTTATAAGTTTCATAAACACATCACTTGATCGTTTTGTCGACTGTCTCCCTTGACTGAATGTTTGGCATACAAATCCTCAAGTCATCATCAAAACTGCTTGGGTGATATTTTGTCTTTTCATGGGAAATTCATGTTTCTCTCTGTCGACTAAATTATCCCTGTCCTTATGGATTTTACAAGTGTAGTCTAAAGGGAAGGAGTTACTAAAAAACAATTCTTCACTCAATTGTTTATTGTTATGAAAAGTTGCTTGATTGACGGATGTAAAAATGAAGCTGCACGCTGCATAGATTTAGTGTGAAAGATGAAAATATTTTGACAAAAACTGCTTTAGATATGAGCGCAACAATGAGGACTTATCATGATTTAAGTCAAACATAACTTGAATCCTAACTAGTCACTATTTCTTTAGGAATCAAACGGATATGGGTTAGGAAATCAGTGAAATCTGCCTAATTGCACTAATTTTAAAGCTTTTGCGTTTCTCACTGATGAAACAACAGCTTCCCTTTTCATAAAGTCTCAGAAAACCTCAAAATTAAATTCCTGTTCCGACAAGATGGAAATATGAAATATTTTCAGCTTATATCAATCAATAAAATAATCAAAAGTAGGGTGTTAGTCGTTTGCTATTAGTATTCCTCAGACAGGTTATTTATTCTGCATAAAGCATCAGGTCTACCAACCGCTTTCTGACATCCTTCTCCACACAAAACCCATGCTAAATATGGTATGTTTGAATCTTTATATTTGGCTGTACTAACATCAATTTATGAAGTCTCGTCTAGCTTCACTCGAAGTTGTACGAGGAAAAAGGAGACGTTCCTTATACAATAAGATGACTTTAACCAATTGTTTGCAAGAGCTCAAATGCCTATCAACAACAGTGTCACTTAGTTGAGTCACATGTTCACTACTAACATAGCCTACAGCCTTCATTGTTCCACGCAATATTACATTAGAGAGAACAGTAAAGAAAAGTGGATTGTTATGATAGAAATTCATGTCTTCCTTATATAATAAATCAGCTTAAGGATTTTCTTCGAAATCAACGACATTTGAGGCGACAAACAAAGATTTGAAGGAAAACTGATGCCAGAATAGTAATATTTGATGTCGCTGACATTACAATAATCATGAGATTATATCAGTCGACACAAGTCTTTTACACATCTGCAATCGAAATTAATAGTCTAATATCTAGTAATAATAATAACAGCTTTATTCTACATAATAAGTTAACGCAATATACACAATTTTAAGTGTCGTTTATTTTGTAGTATTTTCCCTTCATCCAGGAATTTCAAGTAAAACAGCCATCTAGAGTAAATTATGTGACGTAATTCTATTCGATCTGAAGAATAAAGTAATCTTTTGCGGTATTTTCTCTGACCTGCCAGAAAAGAGCGATGACAGGTTGCAAGCCAATTAGAAATGTGCATGACTACATTTGGCAACAGATGAACATAAATGAATGATTATTTCAATAATATTGAAGTATTGGTTTGTAGGGATTTAATTGGTTGGTTACAGGATCTCATCATGAGCTGACTTAGGTTAGAGAGCCATTGGGAAACCAGCATCTTATTTCTATGGGACTGTCCATGAGTGCGCATCCGCCGCCAGGGTTCAAACCCAGGACCTTTTAGTTACAAAGTGAGTTCGTAGACCACTAAGCCAGAATGGGCAGCCCACGAATTCATACTTCTGCCAATTCACAACATAGCGGGACCGCTAGCCATTGTCTTCGGCTAGTATTTGTCCTCACGCCCGACCTGCTGTATCCTACTGGTCACGGCTTCGCACTAGAACCTCAGGTAACTATCTACCTGAATATGGCTAGTCACTAGTGAACATCTCATTGATATTCAGTTACTGTTGAAGAGTCCTAAACAAGGACTAAACAGGTGTGCAGTCCTCGCTGCTGGTTTTCCAATGCTTCTCTAACCGATATCAAGTCATGATGAAATCATATCAAAAAATAATTAAAGAAAATAAGATGCACTGTGTCTGATGGAAATTCAGCTATCTCAGTGATTCAAACAGGGCCAGAGTTTAAGATCATTTGATCAAGATCATTGGTTAATCTTGGATATGAAATTATCTATATTAAAATAATCTAATGCAGAAACTATCAGAACAGAAACCGTCATATCGTCAGAGGGGAAGTTAGATTTAAGATGCATACAGTAATGCTTGTGAAAAGAATGAAAAATGAGGCGCAGGCACACCAACTTCCCTAAGCGAATATGATGGATTAACTATATTTCTATATTGTGTCTTTTCAGGTTATTTTGAGGTAACAGGAAGTGTTGTGCATTTCTATCTTCAAAAGTACAGACATCAAAGACTTATGGAGTCTGGAACAACATGATTGTGCAGTTTTCTGTTAGATGTTACAAAGTGGAAACATTGTACGTAACTTTTGTTTAAAACGACTCATAGTAAAATAGACATATCTTTAGAGAAGAATTTTGAATAAATTATACTGATTGACGCTTCTTCTTCTCTCTAGTTCATAGTGTCTACTTACTTCACTTCTATCCATGTTGTATCCTTTGGATTTTTCAGGAATCTGTCAACCACATCAGAAAACTATTCTACATTCGGTACACAGCTTCTACTAGCAGACACGAATCCAGTAGTGAACTAAAGTTTTATTTCTATTACCCCTCAACTGTATTTTTGTAATATACCGTTACATTATTTCATAAACGTGGATTTTTATTCTAATTTATGAACCGTTACTGAGTTCACTACTAAGTCCTCTACAGAGCAGTAGCAACAAAGTTCAGGAGACACTCATCACATTTTAGAAAAAAGTATGTCGTAAAAGATTTCGAGTAACAGGTTTTCGGGGAAGTAACATTTCATGTATACTCTTCATGTTCTTTATTCTGAAAATCGTCTAACTTTACCTGAATGATATAACATGCAGCCACGTTCTGTGAACCATATCAAAGGAAATATTTTCCCTGTGCACCAACCATAGAAAGAGAAGATCATATTTTAAAACCTGAAAGTGCTGATCAAAGACTTAGTTTACTTTAAACAACGCAGTCATGTAGACTTTCGAATTAATAGGAGTTTAAACCAAGAAATAACAGAATACCATCCAGTTACTGTTTATAGTTGTCTACGGCTTCACTAAAGCTGGTATACAGTGTCACTGTGAAACAACTGACCTCAGATACAACCCAGTGAATCCAATAAATCACATGTTCCTACAAGTATACTGTTAAATCCCTAAAGCTGACTCATTATTATGAGAACCTAATTATTAATTTAGTTGACCGTTGGCATTAACCTCCGTTGATTTTGTTGTGCATATATTTATAAATACTGACGCTTGAAGTTTACGCTTATGTTTCGAGCTACTTTGTTTTTGAAATTATTCAGTGAGAAATCGTTTGGTTAAATGCGATTTCACTATGAAATGAAAAAGATTCCAGAAAAGTTCGTCAATAAACGCATCACCAAGAAATCAGTCAAAGACTATTTTCCATCTGTAAATAAGAAGCCAATATAAACACGGCTGCAGTTCAGGGGTGACGCAACTAGTGTGATAATTGCCTTTGACAGTGTCGATTGAGAGGTGATTTGGAAACTACTTCGATACTATGGGGTACCACCGACAATTATACATCTCATACAACAGCTCTACGACAATGCTACATGCCAGGTAATCCACAACGGGAAATTCATGGAATCCTTCGAAGTGAAGACGGGAGTAAGACAGGGTTGCCTACTATCGCCAATGATTTTCCTGATTGCAGTAGACTGAATAATGCGACAAGCAGCGGGCAATGAGGAAACAGGCATAAAATGGGCTCACACAAAATTCTTCGGGGATCTGGACTTCGCCGATGATATATGTGTGATTTCCCACTAACTGGAAGATATGCAAGCGAAAAGCAACAGGTTGGCGATAGAAGAAGCATCAAAGATAGGACTTCAGTTGAACATAGAGAAAACGGAGGTGATGAAGATTCCTGGGCAACAACGACAACAGACAACAATCAGCATAAATGGCAGGAACCCGAAAGAAACAACCTATTTTACTTACTTACCTGGGAAGCATCGTTTCAACTACAGGCGAACGGAACTGACGAGGATATGAAAGCAAGAATCGGAAAAGCAAGACAAGCTTTCACTACTCTCAAGTCTGTGTGGAGGTCAACAGCATTCAGTATGAAAAATAAGATCCGGATTTTCAACTCCAATGTGAAGTCAGTGCTACTATACGGATCAGAGACTTGGCCAGCGCGTCATAAAGAGCATCTCAAACAAACTACAAAACTTCATTAACAGTTGTCTTCGCCCAATTCTCAAGATCCGATTGCTGGCCAGAAAAGATCAGCAACAGAGATCTCTGGCAATGGGCGAACCAACCAGGAACCGATTGTGTAACAAATATGCAGAAGGAAATGGAGATTGATTGGCCATACTCTTAGGAAACCATCAAGTGACATCACTAGACAAGCCATTGCTCGAGTGGAACCCGAAAGGGAAGCGGCGAGTTGGTCTTCGAAGGGTGACTTGGAAGAGGTCATGTGAATAGGAGTTGAAAACGTGTGGGCAGACATGGAGGCAGGTGAAGACTCTAGTAGAGAACCGAACGGAATGGAGACGCACGGCTGAAGCCGTATGTTCCTGTAGGAATTAAAGGATACAATAGGAAGAAGAAAAAAAAATTCATTCAAAGAACTTTTTATGCTGGTAAACTACAAGACATATTTTGTACATGACCGGAGTTGATTTCTCGATTGAAAGATGAAGTAGCTAGACTAGCTACCTCTTCTTGTATCTGTTAATTCTATTGCGCTTGTGGTGGAGCGAGTTATTTTGTCCATTTCTTTAAGAACTTGATTTTTCATGTTCGCTCAGGAACACCTACCATTGTGGCCAAATAAAGGTGTGGTAAAAACCGTGAACAGTCCGATATTAGACCACCTAGAGCAGACCGGCCAATAGCCAGCATTAAATAATCCTCCTCTACCATAGACCGGGTACTAAATAAACTGCCAATAGCATCCAGGTACCCGATACTCCAAACAGCAGAGGCTATTATAATTCGCCAAGAACAACCGATATTCTGGGTACATAGGAAACAAGTCCAACCACTGTTACTGCCCTGGCCTGCTGTGGAGCTTTCAAATTCATGAACACATTATAACATCGGCCTTTTTGATGTGGCCCTCTATCCTTCACATATAAATTCCACTACCCCTTGGCATTATATTTGCATTATCTAACCTTTCGTTTTCTTATTTAAACGTAGTCGTTAACGTACACACTGACACACACACACACAACGCACATGAATTTCAGCCCCAATAAACCCTTTTTCTCTACCCCCGTCCTTCACGTGATCACTCACCCATCTGAAGTTTATAATCAATATGATTGGGTCTTAAGTATGAGCATGACTCATGAGAATTTATCACTGTACACTTGTTGTCATTCATAATTATTTATTAATTTATTTTTGTGACATTAGTCATTATAATGAAGGCATGTTTTGTATTTTTCAATGAATGAAAAACAAAACGATATTGTCGTTTTTACTGACGTTTCGCTATTCAATACTGCTGCTAATAGCTTTATCAAAGTATTATTAAACGAGAATTTACAAAATCTCAGCTTGCATTATATAACAACTTAATCATCGTTCTTCAGCATGGGGGCGTTTTTGTGTTGTCAAATTGGCCAATTTGTAAACATTACGAAACCATGGGTAGATTGTTGGGTTTGATAAGTGTATAAAATTATAAAAGCAGCGTGTGTTTACATAATGAAATTTCTTATTACATTCGTGTTGATTTTGTCATTTCATGTTGTAAACAGGTCAAATTCTGTTTTAGACCATCATTCCTATTCAGACAATTTGGATTCCATCTGATATGAAGTGCTTCTGATATTAGACGTATTTTGTGATTTCTGAAATTTTTCTGGATTATTATATAGTTGTAATATTAGTGTTCATTTTAGTATTACAATTTCACATATTACCAGATACACACATATATTTTGTTAGCATTATTAGAAAAGGGAGATTATCTGAAAAATGTGATGTATTGCGCTATACATTTCGAACAATCTGATCACATATTTGCTTGTCAAGTCAATATATATGGAAAAGTTAAATTAAACAAAGTGACAAAAAAAGAATTAAGAATATTTAACGCAAACGTTTGGTAATCCAATCAAATAAGGATTACCAAGGTAAGTTAAGAGTAATAACAAACTCTTTTTGAATACACAAGGGGGGCTAAGTTTATGAATGGCCAAAGAATCAGCGTATTTCAGTAAACGTCCTTGACCGTTTTTCTAGATGACCTAAAAGGCTGAGTTAACATCCAACTTATGGTTCATTTCGATTAAATGTTTAGCTATAGACGAAGTTCGTAGTCTGACACCTGCATCTATGGGTTTGTCACAATTTATCTGTTTTTCTAACCACTTTGGGATATGCTCTCCCACCCTCACGCGCAACGCGCGATTACTCCTCCCTATGCATATATGTCCACGCACACACGAAAATTGGTTAATTGTGTGGTATGTGATATAATCACTTGTGCACTTTTGAGGTTTGCAGTGGAGCATATTTTAAGCTTTTTCGACAGTTACAAGCTCAGCTGCATAATAGGTTCTACGGATGATGGAATTCAACCTTTGTCTCAAAATCCTACTATTTATTTCCCCATTATATGGTTATTTGTGAAAATCTTTTTCTTAGGGATAGTATGGATTGTAGGTTTAGAGGCTAGTTGACTTCTACACCTGTTTAAAAATTTCAAAGGATATCCATTTTCAACAAGAGGATCCATCAGTATTTCGTTTTCTTTGTCGATAACATCAGCCGTACAAATACGCTGAATCCTCTTAAATAGACACTTCACCAAGCCTCTCTTATACTGTAATGGACAGAAGCTGTGAAAATTAAGGTATTGCCCTGTCCAAGTGGGCTTTCTGTAAATAGACCGTCTTATTGAGCCATCGTCTCTTCGACTCAGAAGTATGTCTAAAAATGAGAGCTGGTTGAGACTTTCTTCCTCGCATGTAAGACTAATATGATTCTGTACAGAGTTAAGTCTGTCTAATAGACGACTCGCATCTTAATGATCGTCGCATATCAAAATGATATCGTTTACATATCTCTTATAGAAAGGCAATTTAGAAATTAAATCAGAGGATATATTTTGTACTATAATCTATTAACAATCTAATTGCAAATAACTATTGGGATTCTAATCTAAATGCTCCGATGTTACTCTTTAAAAACCACTAATGTTATCAATAACAATCATCCTTTTATTATTATGGATGTAGAAATAACTGTAGAACCTGATGAAGAAGGAGTTATCGAAAAGAATATTTAAGTAGGGCACAGCAGGTCGAAGGTGCGGACAGTGGTCTGGCTTTTTCATGAATTGGCAAAACCTAGAATTCGTAGTCTGGTCATTGGATAGGGTCCCAGTGGCTTAATGGCCTCCCGGGTTCGAGCCCTGATGAGTCCCTACTGTGAAGAGACCCAAACTACAACGAAACAGCTGTGCAGTACTCTCAGGTTTGCCAATGGTCCCCTAATCAATGTCAGTTCATTATGAAATCCTTCAACCAATCAAAGCAAACAAACCCTACAAACCAAGACTTGTGAATATTCTTCGTTCAGTAATCAATCTTTTGAAAAAAAACTCCCACAAACTTATCAAATTCAGCTGACCCTATTACACACTTCAGTAATAAAATGCCAATAATCACTAGATTTCGAAAGGTCACTCGTACAAATCTACCTCGGTAGGGAGTATGTGTCCATTTGTTCTTCAAATGATAAATCAAATTATTAACATACGAACTGTGATCGAGATTTGACCGAATACTTTCACAGGAATTTGACGCAGGGTGAAGAGAATACATTTGTAAAACTTTATGTATATATATATATATATTTATAAGATATTGAACTTAAAACATGTCACAACATACACTAATTGAATAATTAGCTTTGTATTGACATTTAACTGACAAATGAATGTCTTACCTTTTGTAATAATTGTGAATTCTTTCGATTTCGTTCCCTGACCCAATATGCTTTCTGCGTATACTACAAATTTATATTTTGTATTTGGAGTTAAACCTGAGAAGAGAAAAATAAATGGAATAAAAATCTTAGTATACCGATACAATTGTATTCATGTATTTTCTAAATGAAATATATTGGGAAAATATAATATCAGTACACAAAAAGGGATCAGTAAAGCTAAAGTATACCAGCCACCATGATTGATGTGACTCTTGACTTTGAGAAACGAATTTAAGTGAATCATCAAGATCCGTTAATTATTCTGATTCTCTTGTTCATTCCAAAGTGAAATCTAGATCTTCTCAGGGGACTAGTTATCCTGTTAAGTTCACTCTGCGTATGCAAATTTTGACAACTTCAGTTATGTGAATCCCGAACAGAAGGCAAAATGTGATTAAGTTATGCCACATGTAACTCTAGTTAGTTTTCGAAAGGCATCTGTATATGTTGGGGTTATGGTTGAACTTGGCTGAATGCACTTCAACTTGTCTTAAAGCAATCTCTTCGATGAAGATCAATCTACTATGCTTCATTGACATCAGTATCTTTAAACTCCTGAAAATGTTCACGTCTAATCAAACCACTTCAAAGCGTGCTGTTATGATCAACCTTCATTTTGTATGATAAAAGACTCAACCCTCTGCGATGTTATCCCTTCATTTTCTTTTTGAAGTAAACACTGGTAGGTAATTTGAAAACTACTGCAACACAACGCCATGTGCAGTGCCCAAGTCTTTATCAACCTCATTCAACAGCTGACTATATGACAGTGCCATGTTTCAGGTGATACACAACGGAAAACTTAGCGAGGCTTTCGAAGTTAACAAAGGAGTAAAACAAGCAGGCTATCTATTATCACCAATGATATTCATAATTGTGACAGGCTTAATTATGCGTTAGACTGTGGGGAGTAAGCGGGCGGGAATATGCTGGGCCACCAATAAGAAGACTCTAGAAGATCTGTGTTTCGCGGCTGGATGATATACGTCTGATGTCATACAAACCCGCAGACCTACAGGCAGGCGAAAACCAACAAACTGGCAGGAAAGGCAAGCAGCGACGAAACGACTCCAGGTGAACGTAGAGAGGACAGGGGTGATGAAGATAACCAACCAACAGCAACAAAAGGAACCAGCACCACAGAGATTACTCAGTTCACTCATCTAGAAAACATTGTTTCAACCACAGGCGAGCGAAACGGATGAAGATGTCAAAGGAAGCCAGAATCGGAAAGGTAAGATACGCCTTCATCAACCTGAAACCAGCTTAGAAATCTTCTGCACTCTACAGCAAAAAGTACAAGATTCGGATTTTTAGCTCACATGCAAGGTCGGTTCCTATATGCGGGTCAGAAATTTGCACTGCGTGCCCGTCAAGAAAAGGATTTCCAACAAGTCACAAACCGTTATCAACAGCTGCTTTCGCTGCCTCCACACTGAAGATGAAATGGCTGGCCAGCCAGAAAGAATTAGCAACAAGAAACTCTGGCTGGGAACAAACCAACCAAGAACCGATTGCTCAACAAATATGTTGTTGCAGAAAATGAAGATGGATCGGGCATACGATGAGGAGGCCATCCAATGACATCACACCATCGCCAGGCCACCACTCGAGTGGAGTCCCAATGGGGAGCGATGAGTGGTTCGTCCTAGGATGACTTGGAGCAGGTCGCTTGAGGGAGAGATTAGACAGTTTGGGCAATCGTGGACTCAGCTGAAGAGGATTATAGAAAATAGAAGAAAGTGGAGATGTGTTGTTGAAGCCCCATGTTCCACTCGGAAAACGAAGGAACAATATTAATAATAACTGGCAGGTTGGAAGTCAGTTAATGTCTTCAGTGAATTCTCGCTACCATCCCAGGATTTAATTTGAAGATTAAAACAATAAGACACGGAGAAAAGTGGATGCTTTAATCAGGATGTAAATCTAACGTATGTTGGCAGTTAGAAAGCTAAAAACGTTCCCGAAATACTTTTAGCACATAGTACTGATAAAACCTTAGTCAGTTTAATCTCCCTTCTATATGAGTGTCGACACGAATGAGGTTTACCATCGTGTGAATCTCGACCACACCGACAATTTCTGTGCTTAAATGAGAAAGTAAGGCAAGTCACCAGGCATTCCAGATTGCATCAGTTACTTCGTTCCTGTACCCATTAGGAATTAACTTGACTTTTAATCATCACAGTAAGTAAAATGTTGCATTTCGAATCCTTAAGATGATAATTCGTCTTTTTACTGCAATCTTGGTGACATGATATTGATTAAAATAAACCTGTGCAGTCAAATAGCGCCGTTGACATTAATCGTCGGTGGCGCTGAATATCGTGAATTCTCAGAAATAAGAATTGATGAGATAGTGGTCAACAAGCTCACCGTGTAAACTAAGGGTACTGGGTTTAACCTTCGTTGAGGTTATGGAGGCGTACTTGAGAAGTGTCCCAGTCTAAGAAGAAGTAGCACGACCATGTACTCCTTGGTTTTCAATGTTTCTCTAACCGACACTAATTTGTGACTTAACTTTAAACCAATCAGATCCCCACAAAGTAACACTTGAAAATAACCAATATTGTTTTCATGTGAATTTTTTGCATTTCTGACTTACAAATCAAAATTTATATTTAAAAAACATTATGTTATACATTGAATACATTGAAATAGAAATGCAAACCTGAGATTTGACACCTCTGTTGTATTTGAAGTTTTGGGATACCAGTGATTCTTACTTTTCTCTGGTTATCCAATTGCATTGAATCCTGTTTACTGAGTGTTTGAATTTCTGTAAATTCTAAAATTATGGTTTGATCATAACCACCGTTAAAACCGACTACCCATGTAAGCGTAACTTGATCCCATGTGACTTCTTCGATCCTAATATCTGTTGGTGACTCTGGTTTACCTGTAATAGTAAACAAATTCCAAAATAGCGGACTATAAATTGGCGTCCGTAGAGACATTCTATGGCTTATCTCTAAGCCACTTACAGGTCCTAACTAAATAAAATTGTTCTCATTTATATATATATATATATAACGTTTCTGATATCTGCCGCCTAAAGTTGTACCAACACATTAACATCAACACAAAATGTTCGGTAAAATAGAAAAATATGCCTCTATCAGAAGGAGTAATATCTTCGACAGAGGTTAACACAGTTGAGTTAGAAGGAGGAATTATGAGTGAATACATGCAAAGCGTATACTGACTATGGAATGTGAGATAAAGGCCCAAGTGACCTGTTCTATGCAGAATGAGCGTCACTCAAAACTAGAAGGTAACATTTACGGTCATATATCAGCTGTTGAGGTACTTTCCTAAATGCAGGCGAATACATCTCTACTCCGTAGCTGAAGCTACGAGAATAAATAAGGATGGATATAAGCCATTCAACCAAAAATATCTATTTAACCAGAATGTTCAGTTTTAATTGGAATAGCTGGCAACCAGTTGGCACTAAATAGTATTGTGTTATATGTGCGTCGGTGGCACAGTGGTTAGGATTCTCACCGACCATTCACATGGTCCGGGGTTCGATCCCTTACTGACGAACCACAGATATCTATGGTCGGCCTGCAAAATTTCGGCTACCGATATCCATGCTGAAAATTCCATACTTGTACTAAAAATACGGTATGGCATCATGCTGTTGAAATCAACTCATTATGGTGGAGTAGAAAGATTTTTGCTGATATTTCTAATCGTTAAAATTTGAGGAAAATGAATACGTTTGTCACAGAGTTTTGTAAATACTCTTAGATTCGGTCCAGAGGGACAGCTGAATGAGTTCCATCCACCGAAGCTTTGACTTTTGAATATAAAACGCATCAAATTATTTTATAACATTTTAAACTATAGTTTATGAATTTAGACACTTTAGTGTATGATATACACCCGATACGTTTTATGAAATGCTGAAGTGAAAAACCCTCCATGTGAGACATGCATTTAGCATCACAATCTACATTCTGAACTCATAGTTATGTATCCACTAGAGTGAGTGAGTTTAGTGTAGCATAAGAACAGTAGATGATACAAAAATTTCAAAACAGCTGTGCGAAATGTTCTGAAGTCAACTGAGGTCAATGGCTGATTAAACATCATGTTACGTCCGCGACTCGATGTTATTACATTGTTAGCATTCGCATGTGCTTCAAAAGTAGTAGAGGTCCTCAACAATACATTTGTATTTCATTTACTTCTGTGTACTCATTTAGGTGGTTCCACGAATAACCATAGTATTTTATTTTCTCGGCACAGTGGTCTTCACATGACATAATTCAACTCCCAAGCCTTGGTTTCCACTTGATTATCTGCCTATTGCACGATGTCACTTAACAGTCCTCACAGAATGTTTCCAATCCATATTTAGGGGGGGGAGGCTCTTGAAAGAATTCTGTTATAATTCCCTCTTTCTTATCATTTCCTGCAGGTCATGCGACCTTCAGTATTCAGCACAGGCGGATTCTGATACGAACCTGACCTGCATATGTTCAGTCAAAAGTTATCTGACTGACTACTTCAGCGTGTATATAGCATGAGACCTCATTTGTGCGTACGTAACTGTAGAAAAACATTTCCATAGTGGTTGAATATTTAGTTAAAAAAAGTAAACAATCTTTTCAAAAATGCCCCCACAATATATCTGAATTGTTTTTTATTATGTTGTCTTTGGATTACTTGATGATTATCCCGCCATTAGCATATAAATGACATATTTAAAAGCTAACTACTGGAAGCGAATATTTCAAAAAGCTTGGATACGACATTTCTAATACTTGATACATTTTAAAGCATCACATGCTATTTATGACTTATTTGAGAAAAGGGAATATCTTAGACGCTTATAGTTGATTCCATCTTCCTCTCTAAAGCTGTTATCTTGATAAAATTTGTCCACAATGGGACCATACAAATGAACTAATCGAATGGATTATATCCGGTTTATCAGTTGTTTTCATTTCGTTCCATAATACTTTGTTATTGACGATTTTTTCAAGAAAACTGGATAGGAAGTTTAATACTGGACCTTAAGGGCTGAACTGGACTATATCATGAAAAAGAGTTAAAACCAGAACTTGTATGTGATCTTGGGACTCATGTAAAAGTGGTCACAGAACACAACTGTGTAAGTTGCAGTCCTAAAAGAAGAAATGAAGATCTTTGGCGCTGCCGTTTCCTCATTTTTTTGTTCAAAATTTGTAATTACGTCTTTGTCTGCTTGTGTAATAAATAAATCAGTCGTGAAAGCTGTATTATCTCAAAGTCTCACCTAACATAACAAAAGAATACGTGCACTCATATATCAATGAGTTTCACATTGTAAACAGAGGAAATCCATACTACTTTTATCTATCATTCAGTGAGATTATATAAACTAGTAATCAACTCTTATTCCCATACAAAAGAACACATTAATTGGCTATACCTAAAGAGACAGCTTCTCGCCCGAGACCATGTAAAAGTCATACAGATAGTGTCGAACAGAAGTATCTCCTTTTAGAAACACAAATACATCAAGTTTACGGACGATATATTTGCAGGGGGCATCTGTGTTATCATTCACTTAAACACTAATGAAATCATAAAATCCTAATTCCGCTGATTAGCAGTCAAAATAGCATTCCTTCATAATAATCAGATAGTCATCAGTAGTATGATTTGTTACTAGTGATGACTTTGATTAGTGGATTAGAAGTGAAACGGGTTCCATACCTTGGATGACGTTCTTTTTCAATTATTACTTCTACAAATTGCTGTCAATTCGCTTTGAGGGGAAAGCGATTCTCCACTTCTGACTATACCACAACATGGCGAGTTAAGCAATCCAAGTTTATCAATCGACAGGATTCTCTCTACTTGACACTGGTTACTCAAAAGTAACCAATGCGTTTAATTCCTAGGGACTTACTTAAGGTAAGCCGTGAAAACGAATAGCACAGTTGTTAAATCCTTGAATGAAGCACTGGTTGATACAAGCTGATGTCTTGGAAGAAACCTCAGGGTCTTCGACAATTACCAGCAAATGCAAAACCTAGTTCTAGGGCTTCCTGCCAGTTACTTTCCAGCATTTTACACTTAAGAAAAGATTGAACCAAAGATGGTGAATCTTCTAAATTTGAGACATGTTTGAAGTCGACTGAATTAATTCAGTTGGCATCTTTAAGGCCAAGATTAATGACTCAAGGTTTTCTCAGTAACTGGTCAATATATATATTTCCCTTGCGTATATGCAACTAACAATAAACCGGAAATGACAGTAAACGTAAAAAGTCTGTTTTATAGTGAATTAAATTTTAGGTATGAATCGCAGACAGTGAGTGTGATGCCCTACGCGCCACAAATCAACTCAGAGAAACAAGCTAAGAAAAACAAACACATGAAGCACAAGTCTGTTATCATGTTTACATTAAAGGCTTCAAACTTTTATTGACAGCTGCCTTAACTCTAAATTAAAGTTAATTGGGCCAGAGGGCATATGCAGTAAGGCACTTCGGCCATGAAGTAACCAAGAACGAATTGCTGAACAAATTTTTAGAAGGGATTTTGGATCCATCAGAAACACACAGAGGAAACCCTTGAGTGACATCGAGGACTAAACAGACCCTCAAGTGGAACCCAGATGAGATACAAAAAGTTAGGTGTTTTAGGGTAAAGTGAAGATCTTGTGAAGAGGAGATGAAAGCCTCTCAGCAATTATGGAGTCAGTTAAAGAGAACAACAGATAATGAACTGGAGATGTCCTATTGAGGCCATTTATTCCACTCAAAAAACACGGAATATTAACGATACTAATCTCTGAGGTAATTTAGATCCTATTTGAAAACGCCTACTTGTACTCTGTATGAAAATTTGATCGAAAAATACTTCATGTATTCAAATCAACTGACTTACTAGGCTTTTGTAAAATCACAGTACACTGTCGACATCCCTCTGCATTTTCAATGTTAGCGATATATGCTCCAAGGTTGGTCATATTACTTCCAGTAATAATTAAACTAGTCAGATAGAGTGTATCACTGTAAGTGAAATTTACGTCAGCATAGTCTTTTAATGCCATTTCAGCTTCTTTTCCTGATTTCAGATCAATTTTAAAATTCTCCTTTGGGCTTTTATTGATTTCACTGTAGTCGCTTTGATAGAATGCTATTGGCTTGATTTGTTTGTCATATTTGGCGTCACATGACTGCGTCATGAGGGGATTTTTCTCAGCACGTCTTAATAAAACAGAAACTCTATGTGATGGGATATAGTACCAGGATATTTGATTTGGTTCAGGATTCGCTTTGAATGCACATGTCAGCATGTCTACTTTGTTCTCATTGTCTTGATGAAATGTCGCCTTTTGAACGATTATGGGACTTGATTTCTGTTTACTATCAGTGTCTCTAAGCGCATGCTTAGATATAGTCTGATGTATGAGCACCGGAGGATCTTCGGAAAAAATAAAGAAAATCATAAATGAAACCTTCTTTATGTCTGAATTACCAAGAAAATTAGGGAACATCCTTGCAAAAATAGAAAATATCAATGCCACTTTTTTTAAATGAAGCAGTCTTAACGTTTAGCAATCGCCTTGACGTAAAATATATGCCCTTATCAGCATGTGCTTCTTGCACCAGATATCTCTTACCATCTGAAACTGAGACCAGTGGTTGCGAACACTCCTTGCTTAATGTGATATTCAACGGAAAGCGTGATTTTTAATGCATTCATGAACTGGTTTCTAACATTCAGAAGTGTGAATTAAGCATGCAAAGTAGCTTCACACAACACTTACTATCCGTTAGTGTAAATGAATGACACAGCAGGTTGGAATAGCTTCCTCTACAGCTAGCCCATCGTACCAGAAGAATTTGTAGCGATGACTGTTCAGAAGAAGAGCTTCTATTTCTCAAAAGCACCCTGGTTCAAAATGGATACCCATCGCGTTTCGTGGAGAAGAACACGTAATCAAAGCCATAAAGAGAAGAACACACTTCAGTGCCAACGAAAACATTTTATTTGAATCTAAAATCCAAGGGAGACCTAGCAACAGATATCCTTAAAAGGAGAATCTCCAATTCTCTGAAGAAGACGTTTTCTGAAGCAACTCTAAGAGTGATATTCTCTAGCCGCCCACTACTTCGGATCAACAGGAAGGACAGACTTCCGCATATGACCACTTCAATGTGCATATATCAGTTCACCTGCTCGTGCGGAGCTAGGTACATAGGTAGTTCTATGAGGGTCTTATCAAAACGTGTTAGAGAACATCATCCAGAATGGCTGCAAACAGGAGGCACTGGTTCACTCAGAAGCGCCATAAGTGAACACCTCATCAATACCTGTCACAGCATCTCAACTGACTCATCATTCAGAGTCATTTACGAAGTAAACAAAAATCTTTTAAAGGCAGTGTGTTTCCCACTTCTTTGTACTGCGGAAGCTCTCACCAAATGCATCGAAAAGCCGGAGCTGTATGTTCAAAGAATAGCCAGCCTTTACAACTAGCGTGGACCTATTTCGGTATGTTCCCTTATCCTTCAGCTTTTTGTTCTCTGTGCCTGTATTTTTCTCTCTTTGTCTTCATTCGATTCATCCCATTTTTTTATTTATAAAATCAGTTATTTTAAGTTTGTTTCCATGCTCCTCCTGATCACACTTGTAATCCGTTTAGAATAACTATTTTACAATTATATTCTAACCCTGTGTAATTTTTTGTTTCTATGCCTCTTTTAATTCATGTCAAGTTGAAAATAACTGTCAGCTTTTATTCGCCTTTGAAAATTATTTCTCCAGTTATCAAATATTAATGTCGTATACGTTGTAACTGTTTTCTAATCCTATGTAATCTTGTCTCTAAGCCCCTTGTAATCTATGTTCGTACGTTCAAAATTTCATATGAAGTTGAAAGTTATTACCTCCTTCGTTACTACGTGGAATTGAATAAATAATGATTGTATCCATGTAAACTAATGTACATAAATGCAATTGTACAACTTTTGACAATTAAACCGTTGGAAAGCTACCTTTGCTGAACTTCTTGTTCTTTTCCCTCTAATGTCCCGATGGGTATTTTCCACGATTTGAAAGAATTATCTAGCTGTATGCTATTTAAAACAGCGTCTACACAATGGTCGAAACCAACCGTGTTTTTTTACTTTTCAATTTCTTTTCGTAGGCGGAAACTTCAGACGTAAATCATCAGGTACTTTCTCGAGTAAATCAAAGACCAATGGCGTTGTTAATCGAAACCGATCAGTGTGATTTATCATTTTCAGGTAGCTTTTCCTGAGACTTTTCAGTCTATGAATGGCGACAAAATGATATACGCGGTAGCATATTAGATATAAAATTAACTACCAAAAGGACTCCATACAGGTGACTGAAATACAATGCGTCTGTCACGCAGCAATAACAGTGATGATATTCTGTTTCCTTTTTTGAATTATATCTTTTTCGCGTCGTCGGATGACATAAACATGAATTTTATTGTTTTTATAATAACGTCACCTATTTTTCCACAAACTGTAGACATTGTTCAGTTTTTAATACACCTGTTTCCCTTTTTTAGTTTGGACGAAGAAACAAAGAGCAAATTTGGTGGATTCTCTTCAACTGCGTACATTTTTACGAAAATCAAATAATAAGTTACACAATTTCTGAATAGGATTTTTCACAGGGACATCCAGTTATTGATAGAAAGTATAGGCAACATAACTCCAAAAATGGTGTAAGTAGATGAATACGTTAGTGTTAAAAGAGTAACTACTCATTGTTCATTAAGACAAGCTGGGGATGGAATTAAGATTTAGCTTTGAAACAAGCATTGACTAGAGACAAAATACGAGACTGAACAACAGAGTTCAACAGCCTGGGACTGAAAAGTAAGGTAAAATTATTAGCTAGAGAAAATGGTCTAGTAGATTTGGAAACTCACTAGTGAATCCAACTCAGTAAGTGAAAATCAGAGTCGATATTAAGTGCAATGTTGCGCAAGAGAAGAAAACAGAAACGTATTCGAACAAAACAATTTCTGTTACCGAGGTAGTATGAGATTAATCGTTCTACCTTTTTGTAAACAGAAGTTGGATCAAAGTCTTTTATTAGAAATGGTTTATTCAAATCGATGTAACCATCTTTTTCCTCGGGATTTCATTGTTTTGAAAGCCTGACTAATTTCCAATGTACGTCCCTGTTCAGGTGGATGTTTGGCATTTACACTTGGGAACACTTTTCTGCCCTTCAAACAGAGACTTCCAGGGACATGCTGAGAAAATCTACTAGACACTCTCCTCCAAGTCCTCCAAATCTCCTTGCTGCTACAAATGCAAGTGAATTGGAAAATGTAGTTGGAGTTGACATGAAGAGGATACTTATCTACTCTTCATTGAATTAATAAACGTAGTGTGTTGTGAGACGGAATGAGTCAGGTGGCGGGAGATGTTCTTTTCTATGCACCTTTAGTTGTTTTTTCGATTCATGTGTACACTTCTTCCCTTTATGCACTACACGGATAAAAACTGATTCTGTTACAACTATTTCGGGTTTCAATCTAGGTGCTTTTCTTACGTCTATATTTAGATATGAACTTTCGCGAATATCCATTCTGTTAGAGGTTCATTTCAATAACTCTTCAATCTTATATTCTGAACATAACTCCCCTACTCTACCAAATCTTATATTTACAAGGCCGTATTTGCAGCCGAATAGACAAAAGTTTCTTTTCTTTGAGTAGATTTTTCAACCATCCCATCACTTCTTCCTTATACATAGAGAACTAGGAATTGAAACTGATTGTAACCGCCATGATTCATCGTAAATGCAAATATAGGGATGAACCTAATTGAGATTTTTATACATCTTCGATGCCCGGTCCATATTACTGCAAACCACAAATGTGTCGTCAATATACCTGTATCGATAAGTGGTTCTGTCTGTTTCCGGCTTCACTGGAGTCTGTTCGAGATGAACCATGATTATCTTCACAAGAATAGGACTTGGAGGTAAACCCACAGCCATCCCATCAGTTTTCCGGTACAATTGGTTGTTGAATGGGAAGTGAACATTCTTTGTACAAAGGAGGAGTAATTTTTGCGGCTGATTTTCAGGAAGAGGAAGTAGTTGCTTCAAAATGGACTGTCACGTTTGGTTTGTTTAACAATTAGAAACGGATGCAAGGTGGTTGGAGTAAGTACAGTCCTCAGATATCACTGCCGCGCTTTTCAACACTCGTATTTGTAAGCTAGAATGAACAATGCCTCTCCTAATATGTGAACCTCCATCACCGCATGCTGCAGTCAAAGATGCCACTACTTTTGATATAAAGGTACATGACTGACCAGCTGTAATATTTTGATTTATCAGAATGTATGAAAAAGCATAACCAGCTTTTACCACTCTTACTGTTGCGAAAATTAAGGTAACACAAAGTAATCGCTGTAATGACTGTATAACCAGGGGTAATTAAAATATTAACTTACATTTTAGAACCATCTGAACAGAATTAGAGTATTCGACACCGTAATCATTTGTTGCTTGACACGTGTAAATCCCTTCATTTGCTATCTCGAATGACTGACATGTAGACTGAAATCGTTTGGTTTCATTAGAGTCTCTTGCGTTTACTTCACCGGTGTGAGAATAAGAAGATGGAAGGATAGGCTCCCATATTAATTCACTAGTTGTCTCCCAAGTATAAGAACCTGTTTCTAATCCAATACACCTTACATTTGTCTGTACTTTCTTCCATGAACAGAGATGCTATGGAGAGAGGTAAAATATGTCATCAAGGTATTTATGGTTATTGTCATTGTAATGCATAATATGATTATGTGTGTGAGACTGTTTCATTTAATTGTCATTATAGGTGAACTGTTGAAAAAGATATTTTTAACGAACACCGGAACAATACTGACTGAAACTAAAACAGGAAAGAAGGAACTAGGATACGTTCATTTTTATCCAATGATCTTATCACTTCATCCTAAAAGTCATATTTCTCCGTATTATCAAGTTATTCAAGGAATTTCTGATTAGATATACTTGAATGTGTTTGTGTGTAAAAAGAGTACTTTATTCTTCAAGCGTTTCATTTATTCAACCTCTCTGGCTCTTACTGAAGTGTGACTTCAAGCCTCTGGCCCGAATCCTGGTTTCGTCATTAACAAACGAAACATCTCTAGTAGTTCATTATTGCGGTATACAGCCAACCTTATTCAGACCATGCAGTATGGAAGGTTAAGACGGTTTGATCTCATAACATTTACGTTTTATGTAAAAAAGTTATCTAAATGCCTGTGGCACGCAGCCCAGTTAACTATCCGATCCTATGCCTGAGGAAACATACAAGGTGTTCGTGGACCTATTAATCTAGCCATTTGAAATAGTGGGCTCACTTTCCTCTTGAATATGAGACACTCTTCAATTCAAGAATAAATGGTGTCAGCGGTAAATATATATTTCAGGAAGCTAATTAATTGATGTGTCTTATGTTGATGAAAGAAAAAAGTGTGCATATGGACACTGAATGTTTCAAAAACGTTTGAGGCTCGTTGGCTGGCAAGAATGTGTAGATCGCAAAAGAAGAAAGACGATAAGCTATAGAATAGGTAGGAATCTGTAAGAGCAGATGGAATATAATTTGACTCTCAAAGTTGTAACTAAACCGTCAATAATCTCCATGGGATAGTCATTAATTCAAGTTCAGCATTCATACTGAAGGAAGAGGCTACAAAAGACTCCTTCACCTCAGTCATCAGGAGAAAGTCGAAGGCATCAAGCAATATCCTGGAGGACGTTCTTATGGAAGAAAACTGGAGCTTTCCGAAATCTGACAGGAAAGAAACCTGTTTAGACATTTTATGCACGAGCAACACTTAGGACTACGTATAGCTGAATACTAATACTTGAAAGCAGAAGATGGATTACTGTGAAGAAAGCGGGAGAAGGCAGCAGCCGATTGACGCACTGAACAAATAAGTGAATATCAGTGATAGGAAAGACAAACGACGTTTTTATGGGACATTATCAGCTGAACCTTCCTTATGATATAGGCATTAAATTTCGTATTTCCCAAAGGAAAGTTCAGTATACTCTGAGAGGTGTTCACGCGTGATACGGATCTCAGTTTGTGGATACTAGTGGAAGCTGACACTCATTTGGCTAAAAATGTGATTGTTTTCCTTTATATGTCATTACGGCTGTCAGTTATATTCCTATTTCATTTTATTTGTTAGGCGTTAGCAACTGGTAACGAGAAAATACCAGTGAACTGACATGTTGCCTAATGCCTAGAATTTCAGTGAGAATAAATCTGCCTAAAGCAGGAATAAAGGTACTGTAACCTAATAACCTTATTAAAACATGTATAAATGTTTGAGCAAATACAATCGATTAAAATATAAAATAAGTAATTGTGGTAATCTTAATTAAATAAAGTGAGCAATACTTAAAAATGACGCTATACTAAAACAAAACACTTAGGCGATTTACTTACGTCATTCGAACTCGGCACACGACTTGTGCTTATCACAGCATTATTATGCAGCCAAGTAATATGAGGTGCCGGTTTACCATGAGCAACACACCGAAGACGAGGAGATGAATTAAAGTTAAATGATGGGTTCATAATATGTTCAAGGTTTGGTCCTTCCACAATTTGAGGCGATTCTTGAAACAAAAATGGAATAGTAGATGATTTTTCGTTAATACATTTATGTGTTACAGAAAACTTTATGCTAAGAAATACCATAATAAATATTAGTCCAGAAGCTTAAGCAAATATCTTTCATCTAGTTGGTCTCAGGTCTGAATCCTATTCCTACTACACCTTCATGGACAACTGGTTAATATTACCAAAATTCAGTGGTGGGTGTACTCGTTTTCTGTTGATTGAGAGATATTGGCCAATAAATTCTAACTTCTACCAATTCGTAATTTAGCGCGACCCCAACCAATTTCATCGGTAGGACATCCATCCCCACACTTTACTGGATGGACCTTAATGGTCATGAGTTCTCACTAGAACTCCAAGAAACTTCGTCTTGTAGCAAGTCACTAGCGATCATGAGATTAGTTTTCAAGAGCTGGTTTGTAGGGATTGGATTGTTACTAGGATGAAACATCTACCTGGTACTCCATGCTGGTTTTCAATGGTTCTCTAACTGATATCAATCCGTGGTCAACTGGTAAAAACAAAACTAATCCTAAAAAACCAACTATAGAAGACTGAGAGATATGTTTATTTGAAGATGAAAGCCACTTTGAGGTGAGTGGCTGTCAGATATTGCTATAACTGATAACAACCTCAAAAACTGATCGTATTCCTAAGATCATCATCTGTATGGCAGAGTGAATTTGAATAGAGAAACTTTGTCTGGTTTTTATATATAAGTTTATTTATTCAAGATTATTGGAATCAGTATTAAACTGTCGGTAACAGCCACTTGAGATTTTATTTATTGCCATCTGTGTGGAATAATTTTCTAAGTTTCCACACTGCAGAGAAATTTCAAATTGTGTACGACAGCAGCGATTTTGTTTGTATACTCAAGATGCTGAATGCAAGACTAGAAAGTAACAGATATCTGTAAATTTGTTCTGTTCGTGACACTCAACTTTATTTACACTCCACAGTGATAGTCCGCATATTCATACACTAACTTGACGTATGTTGGCAAATGTTAGACTAAATTATTGACTACGTGTTCAAACATAACAGAAATCATGTAATGCCAGTGCTGTTATTCCAGTTATCATTATACTGTGACTTAATATTATGACATTTGAACGACTCATATGAAATAACAGATGAAGCAAGGGATATTTCACATTATTGACCAGCTGTATTCAACAAGTCATAGGTGAAGAAAAGCATTCGACAAAGTCATTGCCTCTCATTAAGGCTGTACATCTTCAATGGATAGAAGTCAGGATTCAAAGACCAACTAACCAAATAATCAGCGGGTTCGCCCTCTGACTTGAAGGTTTCCGGTTGTATCTCGCATGTGATCATGGGTGGAGGAGGAAACATCTGTCAGATATCAGTCGGTTTTAAACTGGGTCGCGAAATTTAAACTGAAACAAATAAAGATCCCTGTTATCATTTCTGCTGTACTGGAACACAGGCTCTTAATTCGCTGTTCAGCTGAAAGCATCTATTAATGAAGAGTTGTTGCGTCAAAATGTTAAGTTCAACGATTGCTAACAACATTAGGGACTTTACGAATAAAATCAACTGCTAAGTTTTTCGATGAACAAATCATATTCGATGAAATTTCCTGATCATATTACGTAAGTGAATGAAATGTCCTGTAAGAAAATGTCTTCTTTTGAACGGTAATGACACTTATCCATTTCTAAAGGTCATTGAAAAAAATGGCAAAAACGCAATGTAACATTTTTCACAGCATCATGAACTCCGAGTTCATGTAAAGGTAGAACATTTCCAGGATGTACATTTCGTCCATTTTGATACTCATAAGTGTTATAACTGAACGGAACTAACGCGTCGTCAATTTGCTATAACTCCGTTGCTAATTTGTTATAACTGAAGTAAACTGAACTATGTCTGCGCCTGTTCATTACTATAACGAAGAACTCAACTGGTACGCCTATATCTCTATTTGTCCGTTGTACCTTCCGATTCACTGAGCCAAGCAAATATCAAAAGACAAAGGCCTGCCTGTGACTATAAAATACTGTATAATATCTCGGTTAGGAAACAAAACACGATATTTATATTTTGAATGTTTGGTGATACGACAAAGACCAAGGTGGGACAAAAGACGACGAACTGATCACAGTATGTGTGAGAAATGATACGTTCACATAGTAACTCCATCACAAGATAAATCACACGATTCGTGAGAAAGGATGATATACTATTTTATGCTGGGTCCTATCAATAAGCTTGATTTATCTGTGATCATAGGTGATTGTTAGCGTTCCAACTGTGACTCAGCATTATTCATGAGACCTCTCAGTTCGTCAGAGCCACAATTTGCGCGATTAGGATAAGTTCTTACTTTGTTTGTCTAATTTTTTTCCTTCCCATGGGCTTATTATTATGGACTGAAGTGTCCAGTCTCTTTTAATAAGTCTGTTTCTACTGATGATGCTTCAAGGATGTCTGAGGAGTACCTTGATCAGCAAGTTGAAAATACAAGAAATAATTTAACAGATAAATAATATTTTTATCATCACAACTATTCCACATATCACCTTATCCAACAAATAAATTCAAAGGAGGAATAGTCACTAATTCCCCCCCCCCACTTGCCAAGTCAATCATTAGACAGAGAGAACAACCATCTTCTACGTCATTATACACCCTGGTTCTTCTGTTCAAAGGTTTTGGAAATACCATTAATAATTTTTTTGCGATAAGCATCAAACGACTACGTCTCTCTCTCACCAATGTTCTTGCATATCATTTAGTTGTATGAAGGAAAAGAGCAAAGATAACAAATGTGAGGCAAGAGGATGGAAGAAAAGTTGAAGCCTGCATAAATCAAAACAAATCGGCATTCGATAAAGACGATAATGTAGAGTTTGTAGAAAAAAAAGAGGAACAAGGCATACATGAAAAGTCTTTTTTTTTTTCCCTTTTCTATTGATTACGCATATATATTTCAGGATTTAATATGTTCCTATCTACTTGAATTAGTTATTGCAGTCTTAAAGGGAAAATGCCGAAAAATAAGGATGTAGTTAACGTCAAGTATTTTGTCTGCAAAGGTTATTGAAGCAAGAGAAGTAGGCATTGTTGAAAATGCACTTATAATACAGCATTACAACTATATTATATGCATTAGAAAGAAGAGAACAAGAAGTTCAGCAAAGATATCTTTTCGGCGATTTCATTCTCAAAAGCTGTACAATCGCATTTAAATACATAATTTTACATGGAGACAATTCTTGTTTGATTCTACGTAATTACGATGGTGAATAAAAGGTGATAATTATTTCCAACTAGATATGGTTTTTACGAGAGGCTTAGAAACAAAATTACACAGTATTAGAATGTATATCAAGTGTGTGACAATGAGCATGGAAACAAAATTGAATTAATAATTTTCAACTTGAGATGGGAGTTAGGAGGTGCGAATATTATATATGCGTATTATTATTATTATATTATTATTATATGCGTATTTTACATGCATATACACAGCAAACACATCAAGTATCTTACAAACGTCGGTAGTTAGTATTAAAACAGTTCGCAAATGAAGAAGATCCCGATGAATAACTTCAGACGAAGTACATTTTCTAGTCTGAGTAAACTAACCAAATTTTATAGTAAGTGAATTCAGAGAAGACAGAGGTGATCAAGATACCCAACGAGGCTCGAAAACAATTAGTTAGAGAAACTTAAGCAACATTGGAACAACCAAAGAAGGTTGAAGGATTTCGTCATCAGTTTGAGAACTATTGCAAAGCCTGGAAGTACTGGACAGCTGTTTCCTCCTAGTTTGTGACTCTTCATCGGTACGCACCCACCACCACGGTTCCAACACAGTACCTTCTGGTTACAAAGCTAGCGAGCCACTGATACTAGATCCATTGGCCCATGTATTCTAACTTCTGCCAACTCATGACATAGCGCGATCACTTCACAATGACTTCCTCGATGAGTTACTGCCTCACCTTCAACCTGCTGTATCCTACTGTTCACAGCTTCCCACGAGAATGCCAGGTAACTGCCTGAATAAAGGCAGTAGACAGTGAGCATCATATCAATTTTCAAGTATTGGTTTTGTAGGGATTTTGTTTGATTCCCTGGAGGATTTCACCATCAGCTGACATCGAAGAAGACATTGCGAAGTGGTCGAGCTATGTCATGAATCGGCAGAAGTTAGAATTCATGGACCAATGGATTGGGTCCTAGTGGCTAATTGGTCTACGAGCTCGGCTTGTAACCAGAAGGCTCTGTGTTCAAACCCTGGCGATGGGTGCATACTGACGAAGAGTCCCAGACTAGGATGGAGCAGCTGTCCAGTACTCCCAGCTTTTTCAGTGGCTCTATAATTGATGTCAGATCATGGTGAAATCCTCCACCCAATCAAACTAAGACCCTACAAACCAATAGTGTGAAATTATCACTTCCACATGATTCAGAGTGTTATTTCACTCGTCACGGAAACAATTCCAACAGCCAGTTGTAGACATTCATCAAAAGCTGAATACCATCCTCTGTACTGAGGATCAGATGGCCAACCATAAAACATAGGTGGCAAGCAACACTGACAACGAACCAGTGAGAACCCATCGCCAGGTAAATATGCAGATGAAATTGAAGATGGATTGAAAGTGCTGTAGAGGGACGGCTGAGTGAGGTGGCGAGTCAGACTGTCGGGTGCAACTCGAATGAAGAACGACAAGATGGATGTTGTAGCTGAGGACATCATTTGAAGAAGAGATCAGTGTTTTTTAGCATACACGGAACCAGAGAAGAACAGTTATGATGAACAGAGCAAAACTGTCGTATGCTAGTAACGCCCCATGTACCACTCGAAACCCAAGGAACTTATAATATGCAGGTTATAAAATTAAACTGAAACGGAAAAGGTGATAATTCCAGTGTGCGTGAAGACTATGGGGAAACTGAAATGTTCTACAACTGCATAAGAAATGGTGAAGGAGATATCAGTTATCACATAATAAACAGAGGTTGATATTTATATAAGTATGAAACTTGGCCACTGAGGTAGAGTATAATTCCATTATGGATAAGATTTTATTTTGATAAATCACACAGTGTTATACAGTAATATTAACTGATAACCACGTACCGAGCACAAACTATTGCCAATCATAATCATATCAAGTTACTCACTCATACAACTTTCTTGCTTCATTTATATACATGTGTGGAATTGACTACATATTTGAATAAAAATTAACATGAGATAATGTACATTCAGAAATAATAATATGAGTGTTATTCATTAATTAAAATCAGATGGGAAATAAGACGAGTGTCTTTATAGTCATAATAAGCTACTTGTTATAATGTTATAATGTATGTGAATTGAAATAGAATTTTTAGACTATTTATTATCCTCTTCTATTTTAACTGGTGGAAATAATATCTTACATATTTCTGATACTTTACATTGAGTTATTTCTGTTGCATGTGTTGTGTGAAGACTCAATGACCCAGGATTCAATAATCAATCTCTCTCCATCTACAAAGATTACTTCTTAGGATTTCAACCCTCTTCCACCCTATTGTGTGATTGTGTGTTGTTGCATGCAATGCAACTATTGAGCTTTTTTCTAAATAACTTTTCTTCTCGGGGTCAACCATTCTTACTTTAGCTAAATTCTTATGTTCTGACAATCTGACTACTCCACCTGATCTACTATTTTCACCTATATAGTAGACTTAATTCACAGTGATTGCAAGGTATTTTGTAAATTGTATTATTTTATTTTATTGGGCCCAGCAGGTCTTTTAGCCTACAGTGCTTGTCTGTGAGTGAGTTTGTAGGTTTGAATGCCACCATAATTCCTGCTTTATTGAGAATCATGTGATATGATTATGAGCAATAGTTTGTGCTAGAAACGTCATGAGTTAATATTACTGTATAACACTGTGTGATTTATCAAAGTATAATCTTATCGATGATGAAGGTTGATATTTAGCCAGAAAACATCACATAGGAAAGTAATCCAGTGCTAGTTTCATTTGACATGGTTGATTTCCATCTTTCAAGCATGAATAAAACTTTAAATTAACAAGATTTTTTCTACTTAGAAATCGATTTCGATGTAAATTAATAGTAGTATGGGAATTATTGCAAATTAAGTAACATCGTATACAAATATATGCGTCGGTGGCATAGCGGTTAGGACGCTTGCCGACCATGCACATGGTCCAGGGTTTGATCCCCGGCCGGCGAACTCCTTCACCTCGCTAAGCCAGAAGTAATGCTGGTGAAGAGGAAAGGTTGGACATGAGGCTAGCAACCCCATCCTGTAAAATGAACACTGCAACAGAAACTTCAAGCCACTAGCTTGAAGCCCTATGTTCCACTGGGGAACGTGAAGGAAAAAAAGGAAAAGGAAAGTATACAAATATATACATATATTTGCTTAGATACCTACTTATGAGCATCAATAAAATCCATCTAGCTTACCATGTACAGTAATATTTGTTGGTTCACTAATTGCATTTCCAACTTCATTCTTCATTTCACAATAATACAAGCCGTCGATGTGTAGATCAGTTAAATTAATCAGGATTTGATCTTCATATTCTATAGTCTTTGGTTTGATTGGAAGTGGAGACAATGAATTTGACGAGGATGATTTCATTGTTTTACAAGACTGTGGAATCCACATCCATTTGACAGATGGAGCAGGAAGTCCAGGTGCTGTAAAGGAAATATAATCACTGTTGTATATTCTAGCTGTTATGTGATATCGTCAAAAACAGCGTAGAATTACAATCAAATCTCTGCTTTAACTCCAGTGACTTTGAAAACGCCTCCGACAGCTTTGACTGCGAAGTAATTTGGACAAAACTTCAACACTATGGAGTGCCTCAAATTTTTTTGAACTTAATCTAATGGTTATGTGGTAGTGTCACGTGATCCGAACCGGGGAATTAAGAGATGCGTTTTTAGTGAATACAATAGCAAGACAAGGCTGCCTATTATCACCGACGGTATTCCTAATTGTGTTAGACTGTATTATGCAGTAAACTGTGAGTAAGGAGCGAGAAGGCAGGAATGCGTTGGACACTTGAAGATCTGGATTTCGCTGACGATTCATGTATTACGTCAAACAAACTACAAGACTTACAAGTCAAAACCGAAGCAGCCGCCGAAGATTGGACTTCAAGTCAACTCAGAGAAAACGGAGTTTGTGAAGATAACCAATCTGAAAGAGATCACTTCCTTCACTTATGTCGGCACAGTTGGTTCAACTACCAAAACGAAAATATAAAAACGCGATTCTCAAAGACAAAACAAACCTTCATCACTCTAAAATAAGTTTTGCAATCTTATGTCTCCGGCATTAACAATAAAATTAGGATTTGCATCACTAATGTAAAGTCAGACAGCCCTTTGAATGGGTCATAAACTTGCAGGAGTAGTCACAAAAAAGCACTTCCTAAAGACTACCACAGAATTTTACGGACGACTGCATTCGTTTTAAATAAATGACCAAACGGTCCGAAAGAATTCGTAACCAGAACCCCTAGGAGCAAACTAACTAAGGACCTATCACTCAATGAATATGTTGAAGAAAATGGAGATGGACCGCGTAGCCACTGAGGATGATATCGTGCACCAGGTCCTCGAGTGGAACTCAAATTGGAAACGACGAGTTAGGCGTAGGTTCCAGTGTGATAGAGATGGAGTCGTATGATGAGTAGATGAGAGACTATGGGCAGTCGTGAGGTCAGCTGAAGAGAAATGAAGACCTGTTGTTGAAGCCACATATTCCCCTCGAAACGAAGACGCCTTTATTTTCATGAGAAAATGTTCTCACATTCAATGTATACTACTCTTCCAAGGATGACAGAGACTATCCAGCTTTTACAGTGTTCAGAGAGGTCTTGTAAATGCCTAGCAAAGTCAACTGTTGAGAATAATTATTAAAGTATGAAACCACATAGCAGGAAAAATAATGAATATATGAATTATCATATGTGATCTAGATACATTAGGTGATGAATTTGAGTCAGACCTCTGAAGTAAGTTCTGTAATCTATCCGTATTTTTTTGGATGTTTAATCTAGTACCTATTTTCCTATCAAACAACTTCACAGGTGCACCCATACCTTTTTATAACTCCATATCACAATATAGCTTTGAAGTAAATTTACGATAGGAATATTCCTTGCTGTCCTCAGACTTTTGTCATTTATAATAAATGGGTATTTTTCATTTTCAAGTTAATACCAAACCATAAACAATATGTAGAATGTCAATCACTATTGTATGACACTGTTTTTTGACAGAGAAGACCAATCTGTTTATAACTGTGCAACTTCTTTCAACGTAAACAAACTATTCTACGAACAACCTTCTCACCTAATCATAGAAACCAAAATCTTACTGTTCATTACGCTTACACACCAACCAAAAAGGTACACGTATCATGTCAATTTCCTGCTGCACGATTTGTTATACGACTAACTTACAGTCACTCCAAAATTTATAAATGTAAAATGTAGTAAAAAGCCTACTAACAGAAATGTATTTTCTATAAACATGATGGAATTGAATCTGTTCTTCACTGGTACTTTAATTCTTAAGGATATTTTTGATTGAAGACAAAATTAGGAAGTGTGATACTACACCTTATCACACAACAATGAAAGGTAGCCATGCAAAACACGACTAAACGGAATAACCTTTGACCTCGACTGTGAATGTCATTTAACAATTTGAATGATATTCTTATCCTTTCATGAATCTTCTTAGACGCATTTCACTTCCTGAAATAACGGAGAAGTAGAGTTGGATGTCTTATAGGCTGGTTAGTTTAGATTCAAAGTCTTTACTTGTCCTTCGGGAGAACACCTTTATTGATTACTTCAGTATGAGGTGAGTATCCTTTTCAATATTTATTTCAAAAGTATTTCCATATCTCCTATTTTATTTATCTTCTTTGCTTTAACTGTCAAGTAAAGTTGCACGAAACTTAATATTTCAGCTTAATATTTCAAACTGCTTAAAGCAATGAACTGCTCCTAATTTTCTCTGTTTCTCTCCGTTGTGTTAAACAGTCAGTTATATCCACAGGACAGCGGCACTGAACTCATGTAAAAACTGTTAACCGACTTCCAACCTACCACTGTGTTCTTCAACAACACAGTAAAATGAGATATGTTGTAGAGAACTTGACATATAACAACCTTGTTTCATGTAATACACTGTCGGTGAACATTTTTCACGGGGAGTAAATAATTCTCAAGATGTGACGCTGAGATTACCGTGTGCGTAAACACAATTTTCAGGATAAAGTTGATATTGTTATTATTCTTGTTAAACAGAGAACAGTTTATGAACCGGAAATCACAAACACTTCATAATAGGAATAAAAATCTTGTAAATAATGGACGCATACACAAATACACAAAACTTACACCTTGTATTCTGTACACACTGTAGTCTTACATACAAGTTGTCATCGCTTTGTGACCGGGATATTGTTCTGATGGTCGGTTTACCGGGTGGGTCTTCATATAGAGAAAAAAAAGGAAAGGGATTAAAGAATCAGTTCAATCAGTCAATAACAAACAACGGCAGAAAACAATGGAAAAAATCAAAAGTTACTGAGTAGGAAAATATTTACATCCTGTTACAGATACAGGTAGGCAAATAAGTTATTGAAAAAGATACTTGCGCTGTTTTGTAAACATTTACCGGAAAGCAGTTTGGATTTTCCTATATATTTTTAAACTCTATAGGTACGCCTTTGTACTGTCGCCTCTAGCATACTTCATCACACTACTGTGGACATATTTCTTTATTTGTTAACGGAAAAGATTATGTTCAGTAGGCACATACTTAAAATAAAGGTCCAACTAGAATACTGAATTCAATAGGCACATTATAAATTTAATGAAAAGTTTCGGCAGTCTGTTATATACTTCGCGAAAATAATCATTTGCGGAGATGTAATAATAAACAGCAATTGACTTAAGTGCATATGATTGCATCATATTGTTGTCGTGAATTGGGACACTGTGACAGTACCCACCACTGATATTAGGAGGGATAGAATCTCTTATCTTCCGGTTACAAAGCGAGCTCTTTGACTCTTCAGCCAATGGGAAGGAACTCAGTATCCCATGTGATTTTGAATTCTTCTAATTTGCACTATACAGCGGCATCATTAGCTAAAGACTATGATAATTATTTGTCTTCATATTCAAATAGGTGGACCTCGTTGATCATTGAATACTGACTAGTGTGTTTTCGATTGATTTTCTTCTGAGTAGTCACCAGTACAGAGAGGATAAGTATTCGTCAAAGACGTTTACTAGTGATACCACTAAATACTACGAATTGGTGGAGGTAGGAAATGATCGGCTTTTTGATTCTGTCACAACATTTGAATAGTCAACTGGTCAGCTTAGTAACATGGAGGTCCGATTCTGGTTGTTGTTACCAGTGTGTGCTGATCAGAAGTCCAGAAACTGGATGAAAGAGAATTCCACTACTCCTTGTATCTCTACTAGCCAGTAATTAGTGTACAATCAAAAATACAATCCTATAGGAAGTCATTCCTGAACCTTAATAGCTCAGTGATAACGGCTCTGACTGCATCACTGAGTGATGCTGGTTCAAATCTCTGAAGTAACATGAGTTCCTCCGAGGCCGAAGATACATCTTGCTGTCTGGCGAGTGACAGCTAACACGAAACCTAGGTTGAGCAAAGCTTCCTGTTAATTGCCTCTAAAAATCTAAAGATGGAAGCTTTTCATAATGCGGAAAAAAAGAAATAAACTCCAGTCAGAAGCCCATTTTCATCGTGAGCAGCTTATTTTAGGCAACCTTTAGCGTAATATGTCTGCGTAGCCCTGTGGGATCTCTCTATTTTTTATATTTTCAAATTTGCATACTCTAGATGAGGACCACATGATTTCATTGAGCCATTTCATTGGACGATTTTGTCTAGTCTAGCCCTCTAAGTACGTAATTGATTTTTTTTGTAGTGTGCTACAAGATACAGTGGACAGAGGAAAACGATTTCTACTTATTCATATTGTACTTGACTTCACAGAATGACACGTGAACATTTGAAGCCATATGAGCTAATATCACAAGGAATATCAACATCAGGCTGAGGACCATCCATGGTGCGGAATAAAACATTCGTAGTGAACTCCATAGCAAACCACAATTAAAGTAACATCAATCTGTATCGATTTTGCGTGAACTCAGTTGCGAGTGAGTCCCTGAAAACTAATTCATCCCCTAAGTCAATTGTCAAATACTTAGGTCATTGGAAACGAATTTTCAACACCTTATCATCGAGGAAAACTTCTTACTAATGAATGTAGAACATGTTTTCCTCAATTTAATTAGATGAGTAACATTTCTTTGATTGGAAACTTACTAGTATCATGCGTCTAGTGCTTTGTTTGACTCAGACTGAATTCCATCAGTCGATTTTACAATATGGACAACAATCTGCATGTTTAGCCATCAAGGTGCACGCTAAATCGCTACTTCTAGATGGTTGGTACTCATCAGCGAGGTTCGAAACTCAGAAGGAACACGAATTATTTCAAGATTGCAGGAACATCTTTATGACGAATGCCAACAAACACGAAACCTAGATTGAAGTCTTTCTGCCTATTGCCTCCAATCATCTAATAACAGGAATAACATTTCTACTGTTAAGAATATCAAGTTATATTTCAATTGAAGAAAGTCGTTTTATGACTCCGAAGGCCGAAGTAAAGGGAAATGCTGAAGTGTATGAAGATTTCTACGTTTCGACTAAGAACACTAAGTGTTCAAGTAGCCCACAATCGAGAAATAACATGGATTCCTTAATTTCTAATAATGGTTTCGGCAATCTCAAAGAGCGAACATTTGAAAATAGGTCGGGGAAGTAAATCAGTAAAATTTACATGCAACGACCAACAGAGGTTTATTGGGATAAAAAGACTTACAGTAGACGAATAAATGTGATTCACTTTCTCTTCGATAAGAGTAGGTGTCCAAACCTCTTATGTGAATATCATTTTCAGCAGCACATCCATAGACACCAGCATCATCTATAGTCACAGAATTGATCTGAAGTACTGGACTTGACCAATGGGTTCGATCCGTATCAAGGGTATAATTATCTACATAAAGAGGTGAATAATTGTTAGTAACTTTGAATAATTTCTCAGATGGTTTGCTTGACTGCAGACTAACTGAGGATCTTTGATCTGACTTTCTATACCAGAATACATTTGTCGGTGGTGGATTAGAAATCGCTTTGCATGATAAACGAACAGATTCACCGATTCGAACATAGACAACTTCGTTAGTTGTAACTATTGGAGCAACTGAATAGGAAAACGAATAGAAAATAGTGGGAGAAATGTGGTTACCTAAATGTATTAAAAATAACGGAAAGGTAACTAGACAAATTATGAAAGTGATTTTTTTGGAAAAATGTTTCAAAGGGATATACCTGCTACTGTTCCGACTTGTTTTAAGTAGTATCTTTTTCCATCATCCATACTGTTTGTATATAATCTCACACTTAACGTTATTTCACTCAAACACTTGTTAACACTGGTATTCGTCCAAAAAGCATAGCAATAGGTCTTTTCAGGGTGTATTCTTAGGGTTACTTGCTACCGTACATCTCAATAAACAAGTCACTAAAGGTGTTCTATAAAGTACGACTGGTGTCCTTATGTTAGCTTATGTCTAATATCAGACGAACTCGAAGACCAACAGGCGAAAATCCAACATGCAAGAGGCAGGCTGTAAAGATAGGACGTTAAGTGAACATGGAGAAGAGAGGGAAGATGAAGATAACCAACAAACAGCAATAACCACCAATCACAGTCAACGGATTAAGATTGAAAGAAGCTACAAATTTCACTGGTCTAAGCAGCATTCTTCTATTTACAGACAGCCAGCACAGATGGCGATGTCAAAACAAGAATCGGAAGGACAAGAGAGATTGTCATCACTCTAAAATTAGTGCAGAAATCTTTTACGCTCAGTATATACTACAAAATCCTGATTTTGAAGACTACTGTTAAGTTAGTCAATCGTTCTATGGTGACCGACTTCAGTTGCGCGTCGCAGATCACTTTCAACAAGCTGGCTCCACACAGAATATCAAATGGTCGGCCAGAAAGAATTCGGAACAAGAAATCCTAGGAAAACAAGCAAACCAATTACTCATACCTCAACGAATATTCGAAAGGAAGCGATGAAGATGTCAACACCAGACAAAATTTTATTATATTTTTATAATAATAAATTAAACCTATATCCAAGATACATCTTAATCAACCTCAAATTAGTTTAGAGATCTTCTGCACTAAGCATCACGAAGTACAAGATACGGATTCTCACCACAAATTTGATGTCAGTTGGTGCTTCTATACGATTCAGAAACTTGCACTGCATGTCACGAAGAGGAGTTCCAATAAGCTTTTGCAAACTTTTGCCAACAGCTTCCTCAATCGCTGGCTCCATACTGAAGATCAAGTGGTCAGCTAGAACGAATCAGCAAAGATAAATTCTGGGAGGTGATGAACCAACTAAGAGCTGATCGCTTGACGAATTTGTAGGAGAAAATGGAGACCGTCAAATGACATCCCACTCAATGCAGGCCATCACTCGAGTGGAATCCAAATGGGAAGTGACTAGTGGGCCGTCCTAGGGTGACATGTATGGGATCGTTTGGCGTGGAGGAGATGAGAGATTATGAAGAATCGTGGACACAGCTGCAGAGGACGGCAGAAAATAGAACAAAGTGGAGATTTGTTGTCGAAGCCCTATATTTCACTTGGAACCCAATGGAATAATAAGTAATATATACATACATATATAGGCTTTAGCATGAGTTAAATAAAGAATAGAAAGCAACGTACAGTAAAATTCAACTGATAGTGTCCTTTGAGTACTACCCATCGGGCTACTTGCATAACACGAGACATTCGTCCTCCAGTTATCCTTTGCCAACCTGTGCACCTCTTCTTTGAATAGCGTTTCAATTAGTACAGCTGAATTCAATATATTCGTCTCTATATTAAAGATATGAAAAAAAATGAAAAAAAATATAAGACATTCGGCGTATTCTATTTCTATAAACCCATAACAGTAATTTCAATCAAATGCAGGTTTTAATTATTCCTACAGCTCATGCAATATAGGGTGTGCGATTAGGTAGGTTTTACTTAAGACTCCAAAACATTTCCCAGCCTTTGGTTCAGAAGAGTTTCAAAACTATTAAACGTGTTAGATGCAGGACAGAGGATTGATACACTGACGTAGAGCTTACAGTTGTACATCACATTCTGAAGTCACTACAACGCTCAGTTCGCTTACTCACATAACATATAACTGTAGCTTTTGCAAAGCAATAAACTGAAATAGAAACTCTTATCCAGGACGAATATGTTCCTGTGTTGTTCCTACCGGGGCCAAACCTGAATTGGAAGGTTTTCTCCATACCGAGTGTGCCTCTTCTTCATATTTTTTATATTTTAACTATTGGTTGACAAATTCAGTCACAATAAATTATAGTTTGAACCGTTCGTGCCGCCAAAGTTTCCATTCCTACTATTCTGACACTTATTAGTGATATTTTCTCATTTCTCAGTATATAACTCTGGTGCTTTCATTTGGCACGTTGATTATTCCATGATGAACTTTCCAATGAAGTCTTATTATCTCCTTTTGAATGCACGGTGTTTTGTACCAGCAGCTCAGCTTTTACAACCTTGAACTGACTTGTCAATTTTCCTTCCCTGCACTGCAAGAATGTAATTTGGCTAGCAGACGTATTACACAATTTCTATTTATTTTGTCACGCTACATCTAGTCTTTTTTTTGAAGTAAGAGCTATTATGACAAATCTTTTTTTCACAACTGTAAGGACCTGGAAAAAATTTTCTGGAAAGAATATTCTTCATTCAAGCCAACTTTGAATCAAAGTTGACCAAAAAATGTTTCTGGAAAGTTCATCTCCAACGCAGTACAGCGTTTCCAGCTTGCTTGTGTTATTTTAGGATACTGACTGCTTGTTCAAGATCATTGAGTGATATAACAAGTGATAATGTGTATGCATTGGAGCAATATTATTGCATCCAAATTATGCTCTATCCCTTCGCTGTTTTAATTCCATTTCTTTCAAAAATGTCCCAGTAATATAATTTGTGGATGGTGACTAGCATTGGAATCCAGGATGCTCAGTTCGTCCTATTTGGAACTCGTCATCCGGATGTACCTGCATTTCCCAGTGAGTGATGATGTTCCCCGCACCGAGGCTCAAACCCAGTGCCCTTAGTTTCAAACGCCAAAGCGTTATCCACTAAACCACTTGGGCCACGAGAGACACCTCTTTTGCAACAGGTCATAATAATTTATGAATTAATTTTTAGATTTTCCCGTCGATTGATTGGACCGAAGTGCTCCACTCCTAGTCACCATCCACCAATTAAATCCTAATTACATGCCCAGACATCGACGAAGCATCTGCACAAGAAGCCGACATGTCAACCTGAGACCAAGCACTTCGGTCCAATCAATCGACGGGAAAATCTCAAATTCAATTAAATGTCCCAGTAATATAGGCTGAAATGTTTTCGAAAATGAGAGTAAAAGTAGGTTACTATTCATGAACGTAGTTGGATGGTTGAAAAAACAGTATGGAATGCAGTAAGTAAGAGGTATGGGAATAGTTTGTAAGCCACCTGCTGAATGATTGATTCTATAGGGAAAACTTCACACTATTAAATGAAGGTTAGACGATATTTTTATAGGTTACTCAAAAAAATCGAAAATCAAAAGATTCACATTTTTACATTTGAATAATGAATATTAAAAGAACACCAGGGTGATTAGATGCTGTAAAATTTCTGCTTAGCAGTGTTTTATTCGTAGACAATTAGTTCCCTTTGTGAATATTTACAAAATGCTATAAGGACATAATTTTACTGACATGTATATAGTGCGTTCGCTTAGAACATTTCACACATTTTGACTATATACATGCAAAAAATAAAAATTGCATCAGTATGGGTGAAATATTATTTTTTTTAGTGATCACAGATATGAGTCAGAAAACGAGTGATGGAGAAGAATTATTATGTAAAGTAGCCTGCGACTTTGAGCCCTCTGGTAGACCGGACATCAATGAATTAAAATGTACAGCCAAATCTTTCATGAAAGATCGATTCGAAGACACTACGAAAATAGAATTACTTATCCGTGTTTTTCAGATGGTAGAACTCCTATGGATGACAAGCCCAAGTGTGGTCAGAATGTCTGAGACATATTACGCAGATGAATCGCTTAGGTCAGATAGGCTACATCATCCTAATGATTTCTCGATATGATATTTTGAATTGAGTTCAATTTATTCGTATGATCTGTGGACAGTGTACCGTTGACTTAAATGACTGTAAGCACAGAATAATATATTCAAGTTAATCCTTTAATATGCAAGTAACAAAGGAGATTATAGTAAATGAAACGGTATTTATGTTGGCTGGGTCATTTGAAAGGTCAAATTGATTTATTAATTATATGAGGGTCACCAATTGAAGCGTTGGCCACTAACATGAGCCTTATTTAAGAAGAAAATAAGGAAAACGATTAAAGTATCAATAAAATGGCAGGGACGAATGATAGACTCAGGCTGCATACAGTATTATTTATACTAAAGGGGGAAGTCGTCATTTACGAATTTAGAACAGGACATATAAGCGAACAAAATTGTTTTCAATTAGATCTATAAATTTAGTTGCTCCTGTGGAGAGAGCTATATATGGCGAACAACTAGACGGCTTAACAAACGCATTATTGAGCGTCTTCCTCTATGGTTTGGAAAAGGTTAAGTAAAATCTATAAGAAGTTCTATTTTGGCTAATTTGATTGATAGCGGTGGACAAAAAGAGTCCTTAAGTATCTATCCATTCCATCAGCCTTTCGAACGGAATTCGAATCCATCTTTTACACATAGCCGAAGCTATGGGAATTAATTCGAGAGAACAATCCAAGTCTTTGCACACAAAAGAAGTTTGTTCTACCTTTGTCTCTCCCTTGGCCTAGGTAAATTCTATTCAAAACCCTCCCACCCTTTCTTATTTTCCATTTCCTTCATACTTTTATGGTATTTATTTAAACTCTGATTTTCTGTCCACTTCACCTTTAGTTTTACGTAACTATTAAGATTTGATTTAAATTATTTATTGAATTGTCTACACATACATATATTACTACCTTTGTTATTCTTATCGCCACCTGCATAAACCTTATTATCAATATTTTGTTATCATTATAATCATCGTTATTAAATACGTTCAAAACATTTACCACATTATTATTATTATTTGGTCCACAAAATCACCGTCATTGGTTAAACATTTTTTTACATAAATCTATGTAACTTAAAGTAAAGCCTGAAGAAGATCTAACTAAAAACAATATTGTTCGCTTATATGTCTTGTTCTAATATTAAAAATGGGAATATTTAAAGATTTACGAATTTCACAGTTCAAATTGTAATTTGGGCAGAGATTAACTTTGAGAACGTGAATAGTGTGGATCAGTTTACGTGACCTACATAACATGGTCAATATAGCTAGCACAATATGCACAACAGTGTATAGTGCTATCGTATTACTATATGCAAAGTATTACTGTACATAACGAGAGATATTGACATGTCACTGGTTTCAAGTGTCGATTCTCAGGAATTAAATTGGACAAAACTTTGACCACGAAATGACATCAGTTAGGGAAACCACTGGAACACCAGCAGGGAGTTATGGACAGCTAATTCGTCCTAGCTTGGACTCTTCGTCAGTATTCACCAACGAGGTCTGAACCCAGGACCTTCCGGTTACAAGGTGATCTCGTAAACCATTCAGCCACTGGGACCCGACTAAATTCTTCATGAATTCCAACTCCTGCCGATTGTCCGTCACCAGCCAATGTCATTGGTGAGTAACTATTCTCATACTTGACTTGGTGGACCCGGCTGATCACAACTTCACACTAAAAATTCCATGCATTTTCCTGTTTATAGTTAGTCATTACTAAGGATTGAAATAATTTTGAACCTGATTTTTGAGAGAACAATGGTTCTCGATATTTTCTTCAGGTCCTTACTAAAAGATTAAACTGAAAGTTAAAGAAAAATGTCCGTAGTAAAGCGATATGGAAGAGGCAATACATCCATTTGCATCTTTTCGTACCCATGCAGTAAGAGCGGAATACAGTTCGTTGTCTTATTCATAGAATTAGTAACATATGTATGGAAAATTGCACTGAAGATATAATCGAAAATCTTAGGGATAAGCTGCTACAAAATGTTTATGCCACCTATTTTTTAAAGAAGAATACTTCTAGAAGTAATGACAAAATTAAGCGGGATACAGTGAGTAAGGAAAAGTTTTATTTGTAAGTGTAATTCAAAGGTGGCATATGCAGTGATATATAAACCCGGAGGTTGATCAAATCAACTAAAAGAACCTTCAGTGCTACAGAACTACACATCGATTTCTCAATCAGATCAATAGTGGCACTGGGCACTAAAGATGAATTAGCATTAATAGCCACATTACTACGTGTGTACAGATTTAACTTTTCTTGACAGGCTTGTTATGTAGGCCGTACTTAGAAAAGTTTATCTTCAGGGACAAGTCACTACATTCCAGTTTGACCTAGAAAAATGGTAACTAAATGGTAATTTTATCTCATCTAGTAGATAGTGTACGTCTCGCGAAATAGATGAGTCATTTCGAGTTGTGCATCGATTATCAGATAATCAAAGAGTGAATTCGCTAAATAAGTCCATTTCACACTAATACCTGCTCTGAGGATGTTGTCTAGAACGACAGCCAAAGATTCCTTATTAAACCAACTGGCCCAAAGAACACAGCTAAGACAAAATCATCCAGCTGAGATACAAATCTTCCACCCGACTGCAAAGCATTTTTTACCTATCAGCCCTTCAGCTTAGTTTATATGTGGCTTATGTGTTAGTATGTGTTTTGTGGTATTCATATTTTTGTAAAACCAGTGAATATTCCTTTCCAATTAGTTCCTCATCATCGGCTCTAAACTAATATGTAGTTTTTACATCAAAATTTCACCACACATGTGATTACTTTATTCCATCAGTTTTAGGTATCCAGGGGTGAAAATCAAGTAGTTAAAAGTTATCAAAACAATTACCTGATAGATGTTAGTAACAAGATATCTAAGTTTTGAAGGAGGGATGAAAACTGATTAATTACGGTATTCAAAATAATTTGGTTCTTAGGCATTAGCAACAAGTTATTACATGATCAAGAAATTTGTAAAATAGCAATGATGACTAAGAAGAATAGGATGAATCACTCAGAAAAATTACGTAAAATATAAACAAGTTACTAGAATTAGCTAGAATTGCAAACATATTGAAAGTCACAAGTCAGAAGATGAGAGTCGACTCTTACAGAGCCGCACGCTTTACCAGAACGACTTTTACATACAGCAGAGGCAATGCGATATCATCTGAACAATCCAGATCTGTGTGCTGAAATGGAATTTGTATAGTCCCTTTCTTCACCTCCACCAACTATATCATGTGTATTAAGTTTTAAAAAACAATATTTCCCTTACCCTCATAATAACCTTTTGATTTTGTTAATTTTTATAATTCTAGCTAACTGGCTATTAACTTGTTTATATGTTTATCCATCCTATTCTTCTTAGTCATCATTAGTCTACGAATTTCTTGATTATGCAATAACGTGTCGTTAATACTAATCAGCCTATCTTGAATTGCGCAATTAATTTTCTTCCCTATCACCTGCAATAATTAGATATCTTGTTACTAACACCTGATGACCTTTAACCTCTTAATTTTCTCCCCTCGATACCTTGAACTAATGAACTAAAATAACCGCATGAGTGTTGAAATTTTGATGTAAAAACTACATATTAGTTTAGAGTTGATGATGAGGAAATAATTGAAAAGGAATACACATTATTTCGCACACTTTGTTGTTTTTAATGAATGCGTAAGTGGGAATTTGGAAATTACCAGTGCCTATGAATCACACACTCCTAATGAAACTTATAATGCTATGTTGTCCAGTTATCTATTCGCATTTGTTTTATAGCCATCTGACATTGTAAACCAATGAACTATCAATCCATCTTATATATGTACCCCAACACAGGCGGTTCCGGATATAATTTTCACTCGCCTTTACTGGCTGACTATTTGTATTCTAATATTATCCATGGATTGACAACTGTAAAGCCTGAGAAAGAAGTTATCGAAAATAGCTGTTAGCTCAAAAATCATCTCCTTTCAACTACACTGTGGGGATATTCAATTTTAAATTAATGGTTCGTAGTCTCTTTTACTAAAATATGTAAATCAGATTCCTGGGTTGTGTACATTTTTTATTTGTGAGTGAAGACAGATGTATTTTGAGTCTGTTGTTGGCTGTAATTGATACAAGAATATTCAGTTTTAGCCACTGATTTCAGTTCATTTATTCTGCTTTTTATTTAGGCTATTTTTTAACTAAAAATCGTGAACTAACTATTTAAGTGATTATTCAGATTGGTACAGGTAAGGAACTCCAATCTTACTTGATATTCTTCTTCCATGCTGATCCATCCAGTATACAGCTGGTGGAGGATTGCCTTCTGCTCTACACTGAGTATAGCTTTGTTCTTCGTATAGCACAATCCATGGATCCTCTGAGAAATTCAAAATTACAGGAGCGTCTGTAGATTTCAGTAGAAAATTAAAAGAATAATTAATATGCACGTGCATAATATGAAATTAGAATATCAAGAAATATGTATGGCGTTTGGTTTGTTTTCTTAAAAAAATTGAAAGATATCTAGGTACATACTTTGTGCGTCGGTGGCATAACGGTAGAATGCTCACCAATCATGCATTTGGTTCGAGGTTCGATCCACGGCCGACGCATTCCTCTAAGCCAGTAATAAGACTAGTAAAGAAGGAAGGTTAGGCATGAGGTTAGCAACCCCACCCCGAGAAAGTAAACACCATTGCTAGTAGAACTGCATGCCTCTAGCTTAAAGCCCTATGTTCCACTTGGAACGTAAACGAATAAAAAAATGAAAATCATAAAATAATAGGTAAGTACTTCACGATTCCTGGTTTAACGCTTGTTAAGTCATGAAAAATGAAATCAAATGAAAAAGTTAACAGTTTCTTAAGAAAAGAGAACGCAATACACTCAACATCTCTATTCTGAAGCACATTATTATGTATAGTCACGCAGTATACCCAAAGACTTCGTTTACAAATGTATGCTGAGTAAGAGTAGGCCGTTCAAATGGATTTTGCTCGGATCTTATTCATGAAGCCAAAACCCTAAAAATCCACAGGGAAAAGCGGGGATTGTGTGTTCGGTAACGTTCTATTTAACCTCTTTTTCACTACGAAGGAGTTTGTATTAACTTTAATTTTGTGAACTGTCGCGAAGAAAGTTTTCTTTCTCGATAAAATCATCTTCAGAGGCTGTGCAGTCGTATTTTTATTTACCGAAAATGTATAGTAGCCCATTATTGAGTAACAGGGTAACACAATTGATATATTTACTCACAAGAGCCTTCGAAAGTAAAAATAAAAATTATTAATTACGTAATACTCAACAGCACAAATAAAGAAAGCGTTAGAAGTCTGATAAGGTTAAAATTGTTATTGATTAAGAAGATATGTAGTTGAGTGTCAATTTAACAAGTGTGAAAAGGATGAGAAGTAGTACAAAAGGAACATGCGAGTGTGATAATAGTGAATTAATTATTAAAGTAAGAGCAAAGTAATAATTAAAAATTAAAAATAAAATATTTACAGGGGACGACTAATGAAGAGGTTAAGACCATTGTAAAATAAGAGACTGGACAAACGTTTTCTGTATACAGAATTCGAGGTTGTATTGACGAATCGCCAACGCCTCCGCCATACACAAATGCCGAAACCTAACGCCCTTTGTAGCGTTTAGACTACCCTTACAAATAATCTTTAACGACGACTCTGGTGGATCTGCATGCTTTCAGTTCACCAAGTGCTCGGGAGTTGATCTAGTAACTGTCTTGCATTGTCTTTTCCCTAACCATACCGGGTAATGTTCACAGACGAGTTACCATACATTTTGGTAAATATAAGTACGACTGTAGAGCCTCTGAGGATGTTTTCACCGATAAAGAAAATTTTCTTCGCTGAATTGTCTTTTATTGTCTGTGTTGTTATTTTAAGTTTTGCAACCCATTTTCATTCCATTGTTCTCATATCACCTATCAGTCATTTTTCAAATGATTATTGATCACCTAACTGACGAGTGGTCATCTCTCTCGAATAAGTAAGACTTCATACATTGCAGTTTCTCATTCACCTTGATTTATTTGTTTACAAACTGACAGGAACCTCTGACCTTGGATGTCAACTAACAGCAACATGACATACGCATTCGAGTGTAAGATGTCGTCTAGAAGGGCAATAGACGCTTCACATTTTACACTTCTGACTTAGGGTATTTAACAACATCAAATAGATCCATCTGAAGCACAAATCTTCCTCTATCTTGCTGGAAGGGAACGCCGACATATAAGATGTACAGTTAATTGAAATACACAACAGCTATGAAGCTGGATAACATATTACATTCATATTATCAACAGACATTTCAATACAGAAACTTTAATGGCAGAGAAGTAGAAATATATAACGTTTTGTAACTCACAGCGAACACTGACTTCATAGTCATCGGAAATACTAGATCCAACTTTGTTCACTGCCTTACATTTAATCTTCATGCCGTCATACGAACGGGATACTTGTAGACTGATAAGACTGAGTGTCATTCCGTAGGGAATTATTGATGTGTGATAAGAGGATTGCTTCATATCCTGAAATATTAATTAAAAAGAGATAACATTAGTATAATGATTTCAATGTTAGTATAGTAAAAAAACGTTGTAGACTTCATCGCCCTACTAGGCGACATCTTCAGTTTGAAGTGGGCTTTTAGATTTCTCCACGAGTTTATAAATCATCTTTTCCGGTGGGTGACTTTGAACGAGGCTGGTTGATTCTGTGTGTTTTCACACCCTCTAGGCTACCTATATTGGTATTGGTGTTGATTGTTTCCTTGACCTGAAGTTTGCCCCTTTGTGCGTGAGATTTCCTTCTTATCGATCGGCAAATTCTGTTTATTAATTGATGATTCACAGGAATACCAGGCTTCTAAAAATTCTCTGGCATTCTTGAGGTTTCCTATGTCTAATATTTGAACGTTGTCACAGTCAAACTGATGTCCGTGGTTGCCTGTGTGTGGCGATATGGGGGAGAGGACATAATGCAGTTTGACGGCTAGTTTATATTGACGGATAAAAGGATTAAGACGATATCCACTTTGGCTGGTGTTGGTTTTATCTTCTTTTGCTGTTGAGTCTTTTGGTTGACACATAGCCAGCTGATCGAAGTGATTTTGTTGGTTTGTGTGCGACATCAATTCCTAAAGGTTTAAAGAGTGCTGCAGTGATTTCTGAGGTGTCTTTTATATATAGTAGGGCGATTTTCTTTGTGCTTTCCTTGGGGGCCTTTGGTTTGGTAAGTTGGCTTGAGGGTAGATTTTTTATGATAAAGTTCCAAGGATATCCATTCTTTTGAAAAATGTCTTCGAATTAGTACCAATACAAGTAACCTAGAGGGTGTGAAACCACACAAAAACAACCAATCACGTTCAAGATTACCAGGAGAGACGATTTATAAACTCGTGGAGAAATCTAAAAGCTCACTTTAAACTGAAGTATGCGCTGAAGATGTTGCCTAGTTGAGCAATCAAACCTTTGCAAATGAACCATCCAGCTCAGAGAACAGAACTACATCAAAATCATCCACCTAAGTAGCAAAAATTCTCCATTATACTTCTGAAATTGCGAGTTACCCAGTTCTCATTTGTAGACTAAAACGTCTTTGTAGAGTCGAATTTCACGTTATTCATATTCGCTTAAGTACAGAAACGAAATATAACAGTTGTAGGTCAAAATTCGCACTGAATTATAAAAAAGTACACGTGACGGTATCCATGTGGATTGTTTTTGTTCTCGTTTTAATACTCTGGCAGCAATTTTGTTGTGTTATGGTAATACTGACGCCCATTTAATTAAAAAAATATTTTTGTGGTAGCGAGACGCAATAGAAGGAGTTCAAATATCGCTGATTGAATAAAACCTTGGCAGTTACACTTGCAAGGTTTAACAGCGTGAAATATTCCCATATAATGAATTAAAAGTCAGTCTGAACGGAAAATATTCTTTTCACAATAATTTCTCGTCTTCAGGTTCTTACAATTATAAATAATAATAATTGTTGTCCTTACAATAATGCGAGCCAGTTATTTGGCGGAAACATTAGTTACGGGGTGTCAAAATAAATAGTCGTATTTGAGTGACAAACGTGCTAGGCTGAAATCGATTACAAAATATTGTGAAATGGGGGACGGTGGTGGTGATTAGTCATAATAGATTTGTAGAATGGTGTGGGGTAGGAAAACTGACAAGTCAGTTCAAGGTTATAAAAGGTGTCAGGTGAGTGGCTAATACAAAGTCGTATGTATTAAATAGGAGATGTAAGACTGCAATAAGATGTTCACAGTGAAATAACGAATGTGTGAAATGAAACAGGTGGAGGCATATATCGAGAAAAGAGATAATAAGTCCGGATTGTATAAATGGAAAATTCGGTAGTTTGAGAGAATGTTTGCATGAAGAATATAAATTATGACGAATAATAATAATTGCAATAAAAAGCGAAGAAAGAAAGAAAAAACCAAGAGGGTTAAGGGGAAAAAGCACTCTTGGTGAGAAGAAGAGTCACTCACCTGTCACCTTTTGTATAACCTTGAACTGACTTGTCAGTTTTCCTACCCCACACCATTCTACAAATCTATTATGACTAATCACCACCACCGTCCCCCATTTCACAATATTTTGTAATCGATTTCAGCCTAGCAAGTTTGTCACACAAATACGACTATTTCTCTTGACACCCCATAACTAATTTAATATTCTACGTAAAAAATGTGTCCACCACGTAGCTGGCTCGCATTTTTGTATCGACAACAAATATTATATTTTACAACTGTAAGAACCTGAAGAGAATTTACTGAGGTGAATATTCTTCGTTCACATTATCTTTTAGTTATACTTATGTTACAGTATTTTTTGATGGTTTTTTGTTCTATAGAAATGGATGGGTTACAGGATAATCTTTATGCTTTTAATACCAATACTGAAAATGTTTGAGCACATATATTTTATAAATGTTTCTCAGAGCCTTTGAAAATGCTTAAAATGAGCCTCACTTAAAACCCTCGTTTTCATTGGCATGAACCGGCGATTGGTCACAGCTGCAGAAATTTACAATCTATTATTATTATTGTTCCCTTGGGTTCCTAGTGGAACATAGGGCTTCAACTGCACGTCTCCACTTGTTTCTGTCTTCTGCTGTATTTTTCACTTGCATCCATGTTAATCCATACTGTTTCAACTCCTCTTCACACTATCTCCTCCATGTCACCCTTGGATGTCCCACTCGCTGCTTCCAAAGGTGACATTTACAATCTACCAATATTTAAATTTATTAAGATAATAAATAAAGCTTCTTTTGAAGCTACTCACTTCTTTCGTGTGGATCCATTCTGGAGTATTTACAGAAGTCTGTTGTGAAATAATTGAAGTCATAGATAATCCTGAATTATTTCTTATTGGATTGAAAGACCAAATCAATTGAGGAGATGGAAAGCCTTGTAAACTTTGACAAGTCAAATTCAGGTAATCACCTTCCAAAAGATATTTCTGCATTTCTAACTGTTCACTTCCATTAAGGGGATACTTATGACTCAGGGTGATTACAGGCTTCTTAGGTGGAACTAAAAGAGACAGTAAAGTGGAGAGAGGAAATGTTTTGCATTTATTGGCTACTACAAAATAATGCCATATACGCAGATATTGTAGACACGAAAAAAAAGGTATTTTGATTGTCGCCTTTATTACCTTTCATAGCTCTGAATTCCGTGTTGAAGCATGTATTCTCCTTTTTCCATGAACCTGCGGACTAATATTACTTGGTAACTAAGGTTTCCATTGACATTCTGTTCTTCTTATGACACTTTTTTACCGTTTGCAGTCGTGCATCAGTCTGGTTCGCTTAGCGAATTATGAGTTTCTAAGTGAATTCGGATTTTCTACTACCTAATTTAGTTTTCTAAATACTTTGGGCAAAAAAGTTTACATATATTCAGCTTTAAAATTGCATCCAGAAGAAGCTGTGGAACTCATGTTTCATCCGAGATTCTATTTTTTTATTAATCAGTAAAAAAAGGTAATGAAATAATTGATAACACTCTGTGAGACTGAGATAACGAATTCACCATATTTGACAGAAGTTTAGTTAATTGCTTCATAGAATTTGTAGGGCAAAGATACTTATGTTTACTGTCAGCTAAATGTAGGACATCTGCATATAACGGCGACAACAAACATTATATAATTTCCTGTCATGAATCCATTTAATTTTCACATAATATCTCAAACCTCAGCAACAAGCCTGACGTCTAACTAGTATCTGTATACAATTTTAAGGAAGAGGCTTCACATTTAGCTATATTATTGTGTGGCTCAATTTATCCACCTCTAGTACTGTGTGCGAGCGGTTTTTAATATATTCATTGGCTAAATTAGTTTATTGCTTCGTATTTCCTCTTGTAAGAAATTCGCTGTTACGTTAAATACTGTATTATATAATTATTATTCCCTTGGGTTCCATATGGAACATGGAGCTTCAACAACATATTTCCAACTTGTCTTATTTTCTGCCATCCTCTTCGGTTGGGTCCACGATTGCCCATAATCTTTCATATCCTCCACTTACAACCTCCTTCATGCTACACTAGGGGGAAACATTTGTCACTTACGATTTGAATTCAACCTGAGGTCCTGGTGGGTGAAGTCATTCGATGGCTTTTGCAACGTATGCCTGATCAATCTATTTTATCTCTTGCATATTTATTGAGCATTCAGCTTTTGGTTGGTGTGATGCCAGAATTTATTGCTGCTAATCCCATCTGGCCGGCCATTTGATCTTCAGTATGTAGCTAGCAAAGGCAGCTGTTGATAAATGTCTGTAAATTGTTAAAGACAGAAATTACTTTTAGTTCATATGGAATGGAAGTCATTATCCAGCTTCAACAGATGTTCACAGATGAATGGATGTATTCTCTACATGACTAAGTTTTTAAATATAATTTTATTTCCTATTCTAATACTTACTGTATAACACAAATATAAATATAACGGTGATTAAAATATTGTTTCATTTTAAAGTATTAGTGAACTGACCTTCGACTACAAGGTATCTACGCATTGTTATTGTTTTAACACCGGCTAGAATTGCACATTGATAATTTCCACTATGTCTTGACTGAGCATTAGTCACAGTTAGAACTCCAGTTGGATAAACTTGTATATCGACCAAATGAGTTTGTTCTCTAGTTATTAAGTGAATAAAGACAAGGTAAAAGAATGTCTCTTTTGAAATGGTAGATAATCTAATTCAGTTTGCATCCAAAGAATCAAAATAAATTATGTCAATTAAGGTGCAATAAATGCTCACGTGTTATTAATTAAAATGGAATAGGCCAGCGGAGAATATTCGCTTCTTAATTTTGCTTCAAATTTTGTGTAGCTGTGTACTGTTCTCAAAAGTCAGTGAAATGCCCATAAGGTCAATTGTTCATATCAGTTTGAATTTGTAACTCCATAATTGAATTCCTATGTCGATAGGTGGATGGTGATTAGCAATGGAATTCAGGATGGGCATTTCGTCCCATCCAGAACTCGTCACCTGGATTTATCTGCATTCTCCAGTGAATGATGGTGTTCACAATGAGCCTTGTGTCCCAGCTGGTTTAGTGCATAATGCTATGACGTTTAAAACTATAGGCACTTAGTTCGAGCCTCGGTGGGAACATCATCACTCACTGGGGATTGCACGTAGACCCAGACGACAAGTCGCACATAGGACGAAATGATCATCCTTGATTCCACTGCTAATCATCATCCAACAATTGACTTCACGTCGCATCACCAGACATTATCGAAGCATCTGCACATGGAACAGACATGTCAACTTACGACCATGCACTTCGATCCAATCATTCGACGAAAAAACATTATATAACCGTACACATTTGAAGTGAACTAAAGATAAGGATATTTTCTGCTCACCGAGGCCTTTTTAGTTTTTGTCATTAAGTTCAAACCATAATATCCAACGGCATCTATATAATTAGGCCACATTTGAATCTAGAAATACGACTCCTACTGATATCTTAAAACATCATACTAATGAAGACTTACTTAATATGAAACATTTATTAGGAAAAGTAGCTAAAGCGACTTCAACTGACATCTGGCCTGCTGCTGTATATGTACATACTCCTTTGACTAACATAACTGCCTAATTTTGTGTATAAAAGTTCATATGGTTCTTGAAGGGTGTTCATGATAAAAAAAAAAATGCTGGAGGCCATTCATTCTCACAGTAGAATGTCTCTGTTTTTGTAGATTTTCAATGAAGTAAATAGGCAAAGGTAGTCTTAGAATATAATCAAAAGCACAGGAAATGATATACTATGTCTGCATGAAAGAATAAGAACATTTTACAATTTACAAGATTCTATTGTCTCAAGACAAGCTAATAGAAAGCATGATACAGAGTGGCGTTATAGGATTATGAAAGAAGTTGAAATAATTCGAAGTAGACAAATGTTGTGGGGGTAGTTAAAAATATAAACATTTTCAAATAGAAATTTAGGGAGTAAAATTTGTTTAGGAATTATAAGTAAAAGCAGTCATTGAGAAAACTGGTTGAGTGAAGAATGAGAAAGTTGTATACTGGAATATGACGTTGGTGTAACCCGGAAGTCAACTGCATTTCAAAAATAGTGGGCCTAAATTCTCCACTTTTAAGTGTCTCTAATGTCTCTGTTGTTTCCTCCATGAAATCAGAATTATTTAACTAAAAGTAAACAGCTGTCCTTTATTTTCAATAACCAAGTTAATACGGATGACCAGTTTTAGCTGGCTGACGCTTCATATTAGTTTCAATCTAACTAGAAATCGATACCAGTCAGCGTCTACGACATTCATCTCATCTTATTACTGCGTTTTTTTATTCCTTCACGTTCCCAGTGGAACATAGGGCTTCAAACCTCTGGCTTGAAGTTTCTGTAGCAGTGTTTATTTTTACAGGATGGGGTTAATAACCTCATGCCCAAACTTTCCCCTTTGCCGGCGTTTTATTTCTGGCTTACCGAGGCAAAGGAGTGCGTCGGCCGAAGATTGAACCACGGACCATGTGAATGGTTGGCGAGGGTCCTAGCCGCTGTGCCACTGACGCACTTTATTACTGAGTAGTATCTGAAATTCCTTTCTATATCCACTTGGTTGTCATCTAAACTACCGAAAACCATGTTTATTGGAAAACTTCTGAACGAGAAATCTGTTGATGACTGCCAGGTATGTGGCGTATTTATATTACAGATACCTGACTGGATAAGTGTGCTGTGAATTTAATTTTAACCTTCATTTTATTTTTCTTTCCTTACATCTTTCTTAGAATTAGCCTTTCTAGTCAAAAATAAAATAATCCAACATACATTCAACTTAGAGGGTGAATTTTATTCAACACCGATATTCTACCGTATCTTTCTTCGCATCGCTATTTATGAATGTTTGTTCTCATCTTGCATATTGCCGTTTGTGTTTGCAATACTGCAACTTATATTACCGTTATCTAATTTAACTTGACCCAATTTCATTATAAAACGTGGTGTGATGAAAGAATAAACCACTTGTATACTTTATTGCAATTTTCATTTGAAAAACTCGAAAGAGAGTAACAACTAATTTCCATAATTTGATGTAGATTTAATTTTTGAATTTCCACTAGTCATTTTAAATAAAATCTTCTGTATATACACATATATGATGCGTTTCACAAGACCGAATAATAACTGACGTCTGATAGCAAAGACACTTTCACATTTTTTTCAGATATAACAGGTTTAAGGAGGATTAAATATTCGCCAGACTTCTTTTATGCCAGTGTTAAAGGGATTTATTGGGTAGACGGGAATTATACATTGCACTGTTTGGTTGGTAGTTTGGAAGAAATACAAGAATGGAAACAGACGGCTACACCGCCTGTCATTTAACTGCCAATTCATGCACTTTAGCCGTTTTAACATAGGCAGGTTTGAATTTAATAACTTCAGCATCGTGATGGATGCACTTTGCTGTAGTGCAGTGGCGAACACATGTCGAGAAGTCCGTGGCAGTAGACTCCTCTGTCTATAAAATAACATACGTAAATTAACTTCAGGGAATAGGAATCTTGTTTCAGATGAGTATTTTAGGATTTGTTTTCATGGAAAAACAGTTTAACTGAGAAGCTTTCAGTACTTTCAGAAACCTAATCTTCTGATCAAATCTCAAAACGACATACCAAATGAATTGATGATCAAGTACTTAACAACGAATACCTTTATGACTGTTAAATGAAAATTGAACACTTTTGAGTGTAAACAACGGATCCCAGATTTCGATAAATTAAAGTTTTTGTATAATTCATGTAATATTGGTAGCCAATTTGCAGGATGATCATTAATATCAGGTGTGCGTTGGCAGGGGATCGAACCCCAGACCACGTGCATGGTCGGCGAGAGTCCTAACCGCTGTACCACCGACGCACAGCCGAGTCGATTAGTATCCTGCTCACATCACACCCATTAATCGTGAGGATTTTTATATACATTAAAAGAACTTGAAAGAATTACTCTTTATCCCCTTACTTTCAGGAATGAAGTAAATATCTATCAAGGTGAACCAGGCACTTATTGAAAAGTAGAAACTGTTACTTTCAATGAGCACAAGATATTTATACTGATGAAAAAGGGAGTACCATGTTCATGTTATAACTGTAGTATGAGAATTTTGGGGAACCGATTCAAATTTAACAGTAAGAATTTTTTTCACCATTCAGAAATTAAACAGACAGCGTTAAGAGATGAATTCCTTAATTAACATCAGTATGATGCGTTAGACTTTAGTGTTCAATAAACACAACAATTAATGATACAAATATCAACAGGAACACTGTACTGTTTTCAAGAATTAGTATATGGAGATTCTATTTACTTCAGGCTAGACCACAGAATGATATTTGTTAAAGAACCACTGAAAACCAGCAGGGAGTACTGGACAGCTGTTTCATCCTAGTTTGTGATTCATAGGTAGTACGCACCGATTGGGTTTCGAACTTAGGACCCTCTGGTTGCAAGGCAAGCTCGTATACCACTCAGCCACTGGGACCTGATTCAATAACCCATAAATTCTAACTTTCACCGATTCGTGATTTTAGCGCAACCGTCAACCAATGTCATCGGCGGGAATTCCACCTTCACTGCTAAACTGGCTGACTGAGCAGGTCACGACTTCTCACCAGAGCTCCAGTCAACTTCGTCCTGTAGCCAGTCACCTGTAACATTTGGATATTCTCATTAGTAGATAGAGAATATCTGAAAAATGTGATGTATTTCCGCAATGAATTTCGAACACCTTGATCACACACTTACTTGTCAAGTCAATTTATGTGAAAATAAAGACCATTTGAAGCACACATAGTAACAAGTGTGGTTCACACCGATTAGGTGTTAGGTTGTAGACGAATTTGGTTATCTGCCATCTGCGTCTATCGATTTTTCACAATTTGTTTGTTTTTTCTCCGGTTCGTAATATGCTGTCTCACCCTTATATACAAAGCATTATTAATCTTCCCCATATATGCTTGTCCATACTCACGTAATTTGGTATATAGTGTGGGATGGAACATATTAACTTGTGGACTTTTGAGGTTACTGATGTAAACGGTCAAGGTCGTTTATTTACAAATACGCTGAGGCGATGACTGTGTGCAAACTCAAGCTTTTAAAGTACCTTGGTAATCCTTATCTAATTAGATAACCAGACTTGGTGTTAATCATTTTTATTATTTCTGATACTTGAGTCCTTTTTGTCACTTTGTGTGCACAAATCGGTTGTCAATGGACGTGAACATTGAACGTTTGTTTTATTGGATGGGCAACTGAAAGGCGCGAATGGTCGATCGCTTGCAAGTTGAAGGAAGACTGGAGTTAAATACGAATAAAAGTACTTTATAACTTTATTTGTACTTAACATTTGTTTGTAGACTTTGTAGTTTTCTTCAATTTAATTGCTAAACAATATAATTTCGTTCAAGGAATACTGGTGTTTTGGATTTAAAGCTGAAGAACTCACATAGTATTTATCGGTTCAATCGCTTAAGTCTTCATTACAATAGGAACTTAGGGCTAAGTTCCTTGACATCGGTCTTTATTTTTTTACATCATTTGACTTGACAAGTAAATATGTGATCAGGATGTATGAAATTCACCACGCAAATACA